AAAATACAAATCAATTTATAACATTTTTGACATGCGTTTTTCTGGATTTTTTTGTTGTTATTCTGTCTCTCACTGTTCAAATAAACCTACCATTAAAACTATAGACTGATCATTTCTTTGTCAGTGGGCAAACGTACAAAATCAGCAGGGGATCAAATACTTTTTTCCCTCACTGTAAGATGGGACTGCACCAAATGTGCCACTGCTTCTGCAAATCCTGGTCATATTTTCCCTCTCCGAATAGGAAGGACACATCATAGAGCTTGTCTTTGTTGTATGTTCTGTTTCAAATCTTTTATGATTGTGCTTTATAGATTCAGAACTTTTTTAAATGTCAAGGCTGCCAGCCATTCCATCAACAGTGACATAATGAAATGCCTACAGCCCACGCAATTTTTTCCCAAGAACTAACAAGCACATGAATGGTTCTAGTTTATTACACTATCCTGTTTCTCCACATTTCTTAGCAAATTGGTTTTCTACAGTATTCTACAGTACCCAAACAAAATTATGATTTATTGTGCAGGTAGGTAGTACAGAAGGTAATGGTGGGAGTAAGGTCAAGGATTAGTTGATACTCTAGAGTTGTGAAAGTTGTTAAAGGGAGTCCGTTTAGGAGGCGTTGAGGTCAGTACATACCAGAACCTACAGTGCTCTTAATCTCCCTTGATGTTTCAGGTATAGGCCTACACAGTGCATAGGAAGTCAACACAGCACTGATTAGTTGAATTATATTCAAGGTTCTGTATTTGTACTTGCAGGGATACATGTGTTGTGCTACACAAGGAGATATAGTACACCATATGGAGGAGTCACTTGATCATTGTTTAACCAACTGTTTATGATGTGCTGTAGCTGAAAGCCTACACTACCGGTCAAAGGTTTTAGAACACCTACTCGTTCAAGGGTTATTCTTTATTTTAACTTTAGTCTACATTGTAGAATAATAGTGAAGACATCGAAACTATGAAATAACACATATGCAATCATGTAGTAACCAAAAAATTGTTAAACAAATCAAAATATATTTTATATTTGAAATTCTTCAAATAGCCACCCTTTGCCTTGATGACAGCTTTGCACACTCTTGACATTCTCTCAATCAGCTTCATGATGTAGTCACCTGGAATGCATTTCAATGAACAGGTGTGCCTTCTTAAAAGTTATTTTGTGGAATTTCTTTCCTTCTTAATGCGTTTGAGCCAATCAGTTGTGTTGTGACAAGGTAGTGGGGTATACAGAAGATAGCCCTATTTGGTAAAAGACCAAGTCCATATTATTGCAAGAGAAACGACAGTCCAGCATTACTTTAAGACATGAAGGTCAGTCAATACTGAACAGTTCAAGAACTTAACCCTCCTGTTATGTTGTGGGTCAATTTGACCCGTTTCCACTTTTGCGTTGTCTAAAATACTAGTTAACCACTCTTTTTCGCCATGAAATTACATGACTTTTCCTCATTTAGGGTCATGAACCTAACTGCAAAATGTGGACACACTGATGTGTTGTGGAATGTCTGTGTACATTTTGTATACAAACATGATGTTGTGGGTCATTTTGACCCGGAGGCTTTCATGTGTATATATATTTGCACAGGTGCAAAACAAAAAAGTGTCTTTGATTTATTTTGTTTTGACTGGTCCTGGTTGCACTTTTAGAATTGTGTTTGGGTTAAAAAGGGCTTTCCCAAGCTTCTCCTCAGTGTGAGAGCAGCAGGTCCCTGACACAGACACTCAAAAATGAGCTCCAAAAGATTTTCAATCAATGAAGTCTTATCACAAATTCTGGACTGTGACAGTGAAAAAGAAGAAGAGGTTTCAGAGACAGAGGATATTTCAGAGATAGAGGACAATGCTGTTGATGATCCAGATTTTGTCTTCATTGAAGAGGATTCAGAGGAGGAGTCTGCCGTACCATCCCCTACATCAGATGAGAGACAGAGCATGCAACAAGCATCATCAAGAGAAGAGAAGACATGGAAGTCTAAAGATGGTCATATTGAATGGTCACCGTCACCACAACGAGGTCAAGGTAGACTCTCAGCTTCCAATGTAATAAAAATGGTTCCAGGACCTACACGATTTGCTGTCACTCGAGTCCATGACATACAATCAACTTTTGAGCTCTTTTTACCCCAAGCAATAGAGAAGATTGTTCTGGACATGACCAACTTGGAGGGGAGCCGTGTGTTTCAAGAGAACTGGAAGCCACTGGATCGGATTGACTTGCATGCATACATTGGATTGCTCATATTAGCTGGAGTCTACCGGTCAAACGGAGAAGCAACGGCCAGCCTGTGGAATGAAGAGAATGGAAGGCCAATATTTCGGGCAACAATGTCTCTACAAGAATTCCACATAATTTCTCGGGTGATTTGCTTTGATAACCGTGATACCAGACCGGGTCGACGTGAAAGAGACAAACTAGCTGCAATCAGAGATGTATGGGATAAATGGGTGGAAATTCTACCGTTACTGTACAATCCCAGTCCTCATGTTACAGTTGATGAACGCCTTGTTCCATTCAGAGGACGTTGTCCCTTCAGACAGTATATGCCAAACAAGCCTGCAAAATATGGCATCAAAATATGGGCAGCATGTGATGCCACATCAAGCTATGCATGGAATATGCAAGTTTACACTGGGAAGCCACCCGGCGGAGTGCCTGAGAAAAACCAGGGGATGCGGGTGGTGCTGGACATGAGTGAAGGGCTGCAAGGTCATAACATCACGTGTGACAACTTCTTCACATCCTACCGCCTTGGTGTTGAACTACAGAAGAGAAAGCTGACCATGGTTGGAACAATCAGAAAAAACAAACCTGAACTTCCCAGTGAGTTTCTGAAAATGCAGGGCAGAACTGTGCATTCCTCTAAATTTGCTTTCTCTGAAAATGCAACTGTTGTTTCATACTGCCCAAAGAAGAACAAGAATGTTCTTGTAATGAGCACAATGCACAAAGATGCATCGCTGAGTGCAAGAGAGGACATCAAGCCACAAATAATACTGGACTACAATTCCACCAAAGGAGGAGTTGACAATTTGGATAAAGTCACAGCAACATATAGTTGTCAGCGCATGACTGCCCGCTGGCCTTTGGTGATTTTCTACAACATTGTGGATGTGTCTGCTTACAATGCCTATGTCCTGTGGACTGAAATCAACCAGCAATGGAATGGTGGCAAATTGTACCGACGCCGGCTTTTCCTAGAGGAGCTCGGCAAAGCTCTCATCACTCCCAAGATCCAGAGGAGAGTCCGGCCTCCTCGGTCGACAGCAGCTGCATCTGCCGTCCAGAAAATTCAAGCTGGACCATCAACACATGCCTCCAATCAACCAGAAATGGATCCAGTGGATACAGGCAGTGGCAAGAAACGGAAAAGATGCCAGCTCTGCCCCCCTCGACAAGACAGTAAAACAAGCACCACTTGTGTAGAATGCAATAAATACATCTGCAGAAAGCACACACACACATTGTGTTCAACATGTAGAGAGAAAGACTGAAGGGATAATATGGACCAATAGGGGGGGAAAAAACCTACTTGGGGAAACTGAAAAATCTTGTTTGTGAGAAAGGAAATATGTTTAACAAATAGTTCTTAAATATTGTTTAAAAAAAATAAAAAGTATTGTATTTCTTCTTTCTGAAATGTCTGATAAGACAAAATAAAGTTGTTTCTGTTTTTACTTAATTCTTTGACTGTCTTGAGTGTGTTTAAACTGTGCGGGTCAATTTGACCCGTAACATAGTGGATGTAATTTTTTTTTAGCATAACAGGAGGGTTAAAGTTTCTTCAAGTGCAGTCGCAAAAACCATCAAGCTCTATGATGAAACTTGCTCTCATGAGGACCGCCACAGGAATGGAAGACCCAGAGTTACCTCTGCTGCAGAGGATAAGTTCTTTAGAGTTACCAGCCTCAGAAATTGCAGCCCAAATAAATGCTTCACAGAGTTCAAGTAACAGACACATCTCAACATCAACTGTTCAGAGGGGACTGTGTGAATCAGGCCTTCATGGTCGAATTGCTGCAAAGAAAACACTACTAAAGGACACCAATAAGATGAAGAGACTTGCTTGGGCCAAGAAACATGAGCAATGGACATTAGACCGATGGAAATGTGTCCTTTGGTCTGGAGTCCAAATTTGAGATTTTGGTTCAAACCGCCGTGTCTTGGTGAGACGCGATGTGGGTGAACGGATGATCTCCGCATTTGTATTTCCCACCGTAAAGCATGGAGGAGGAGGTGTTATGGTGTGGGGGTGCTTTGCTGGTGACACTGTCTGTGATTTATTTAGAATTCAAGGCACACTTAACCAGCATGGCTACCACAGCATTCTGCAGCGATACGCCATCCCATCTGGTTTGGGCTTAGTGGGACTATCATTTGTTTTTCAACAGGACAATGACCCAACACACCTCCAGGCTGTGTAAGGGCTATTTTACCAATAAGGAGAGTGATGGAATGCTGCATCAGATGACCTGGACATCCACAATCCCCCGATTTTATAGTTTTGATGTCTTCACTATTCTACAATGTAGCAAATAGTTAAAAAAAGAAGAAAAAAAACCTTGAATGAGTAAGTGTTCTAAAACTTTTGACCGGTAGTGTATAAACCTGAAAGTGTTGTGTTCATGTTAGGAAGAGTGTTGGTTGTCTGTTTTCTCCCTATTGTTCACATGGAGCCATAGAGAGTCAGTCCCCAGGAGCATGGCCTTACGTCACAGTTGTTTACACAAATTACTGCTATTTACCCAGCAGAGTGAAAAGCCCCTGAGGTGGCATAAAATCAAAGCATGCCTCAACAATCCCCTTTTACAGAAAATCCAAACATTGGCGTAAAATGTACTATATAGGGTAACGATACTTTGATCTTGTGAAAATTGATTCCAAATGTCCAAAGGTCCATAACAGACTGCGGATTACATTTTCCTCTTCAAATAAAGAAAGAAAGTGAAAATCTAAAATCACGGTATGAGTAGGGAGCTTCACAACTAGCGATGCCAAGGGCAGTAGCTCTGCATCCTGATTTTAAAGCTAATATCTGGAGGTTATATGTTAAAATGGGAGCTTGAATTTCCTGTGAAGAGATTTACCAGCCGGAGATCCTGTAAAAAGCCCTGCTGAACACCAGCTCTGAGCAAAGCTCTGACACATCTCCTCTTCACCAGCTCACTCGTGACTGAATAACCACAGCCCATTATCACAACTTAAAAGTTGTAATAAGACTATTGGAAATGATATACTGTAATTCAACTCCTGCTCTTGCCCCTTTTTTGTCTCTCTCTCTCTCTCTCTCTCTCTCTCTCTCTCTCTCTCTCTCTCTCTCTCTCTCTCTCTCTCTCTCAGGTGTACTTTAAGCGGGATGGAGAGTTGATAGAGGTGATATCCTACATCCACCCCTCAGCCGAGGACGGCGGTGGCTCAGCAGGGGTGCGGGGTGCCAGGCCACTCATCAGCAGGGACCTGGACGACACCAAGCTGCAGAGGTCCCTCTCCCTGTTGGACCCCGAGGGCCGGCCAGCCCGCATGTTCACCGAGAGCCCTGAGCGTCGTTGGACCCCGGGCCAGCACACCCAGGGTCGGCAGCAGCAGGAGCAGCCCAGCCCTGCCACGGAGGTCATTCCAGAGACTGTGGTGAGCCGGGAGTTCCCCCGCTGGGTCCAGAGCACTGACCCACTCTACTACTTCAGCCACACCCACATCTCCCAGAGTGATGGCTCTGTGCTGGTGCAGGCCAGACTCACCTGGACCCTTAACCCCCAGCTGGACAATGACGCCATGTTCAGCTGTGAGGTCAAGCACCCAGCACTGTCCATGCCCATGCAAACAGAGGTCACACTGGGTGAGTACAACAGAAATATCCCTCCCCTAACCCACTTCTCTCTCCTTGTTTCCCCGCCGCCTTACTCAATCTCTGAGACTCCTTATGTATCCCTCGCAAATCACTCAGAACAACACTGATTTCCAATTGATGCTTAATTGTGTTACAGCTGAATGCAAAACTCTAGTGACTGACAGGGCAATTCATCGAGCTGTCTGTTGCTAATTTGAGTTAACTCACAACCGTTATTGAAGAAGTCAACCTGAATTAAGGAAGTCAAATTAGAATTTAAACACAGCCACGTGATGTCCTGTATTGGAGGAGGCGATGCAGTGCTGATATGATAAATAGAAACATTACCTTCACTGAGAAGGCAGAGTGTGGTGCAGTAAGGAGAGGCTGCTGGTACAGGTACAAGTTACACGCTGTGTGCACACTCCATTTCCTCAGAGCTCCAGCTTTAATCTCCTTCACACCTTTAGAGGTGCCTTCTCCTCCTGCTAGTGTCCCTTTCTCACCGTGGTGTGTTGATAGACATGGGGCGGCTCTGACTGCTCACCCTTTAACTGTGGGAAGCTTTTCATAGTTTTGCTGTTAGAACAACAATAACAGTGGAGCTAGAAAAACACTCAACCAACACAGAAGGACCAGTGTTTAGGGTCTATAAAGGATTTACCAATCACGGCTAACAAGTGGCTATGTGTCAGCAAAGAGCTAGCACAGTGCTTAAGGGCCTGCATAGTGCATATCATTTTACATTTACATTTACATCATTTAGCAGACGCTCTTATCCAGAGCGACTTACAAATTGGTGCATTTAACTTATGATAGCCAGTGGGACAACCACCTTTTTTAAATTATTTTTTTATGGGGGGTGGGGGAAGAAGGATTACTTTATACTATTCCAGGTATTCCTTAAAGAGGTAGGGTTTCAAGTGTCTCCGGAAGGTGGTCAGTGACTCCGCTGTCCTGGCATCGTGGGGGAGCTTGTTCCACCATTGGGGTGCCAGAGCAGCGAATAGCTTTGACTGGGCTGAGCGGGAACTGTGCTTCCGTAGAGGTAGGGGAGCTAGCAGGCCAGAGGTGGATGAACGTAGTGCCCTCGTTTGGGTGTAGGGTCTGATCAGAGCCTGAAGGTAAGGAGGTGCCGTTCCCCTCACAGCTCCGTAGGCAAGCACCATGGTCTTGTAGTAGATGCGAGCCTCAACTGGAAGCCAGTGGAGTGTGCGGAGGAGCGGGGTGACATGAGAGAAATTGGGAAGGTCGAACAACAGATGGGCTGCAGCGTTCTGGATAAGTTGTAGGGTTTTAATGGCACAGGCAGGGAGCCCAGCCAACAGCGAGTTGCAGTAATCCAGACGGGAGATGACAAGTGCCTGGATTAGGACCTGTGCCGCTTTCTGTGTAAGGTAGGGTCGTACTCTGCAAATGTTGTAGAGCATGAACCTGCAGGATCAGGTCACCGCTTTGATGTTAGCCGAGAATGACAGGGTGTTGTACAGGGTCACGCCAAGGTTCTTTGCACTCTGGGAGGAGGACACAATGGACACAGTTGTCAACCGTGATGGCGAGATCATGGATCGAGCAGTCCTTCCACCGGGAGGAAGAGCAGCTCCGTCTTGCCGAGGTTCAGCTTGAGGTGGTGATCCGACATCCACACTGATATGTCTGCCAGACATGCAGAGATGCGATTCACCACCTGGTTCTCAGAAGGGGGAAAGGAGAAAATTAATTGTGTGTCGTCTGCATAGCAATGATAGGAGAGACCATGTGAGGATATGACAGAGCCAAGTGACTTGGTGTATAGAGAGAATAGGAGAGGGCCTAGAACTGAGCCCTGGGGGACACCAGTGGTGAAAGCACGTGGTGCAGAGACAGATTCTCACCACGCCACCTGGTAGGAGCGACCTGTCAGGTAGGACGCAATCCAAGAGTGAGCAGCGCCGGAGATGCCCAATAAATGTTCAATCTGTTTATAATTTTATATTAAAGTAACTGCCCAGTGAAAATCTCACTTTTAAAAATTCATATTCTGTTAACTCATCCAAATAATGTTATTGACTCGTCCTATACTCGTATTTGTGGCCAAAGCATAAATTGTAGGGTAGAAAAAACACACAGACCATTTCAAATATGCTTGCTATTTCCTCATGGAACATGATGTCATCTCCTTGAGGAGGATGAGCTGGCAAATCAGCAGTTTATAGAAGGATGACCAATCATAGGTACACTTCAACTGTGAGAGACGGAATCTAAAACAAAAATCCAGAAAATCACATTGTATGATTTTTAAGTAATTAATTAGCATTTTATTGCATGACATAAGTATTTGATACATCAGAAAAGCAGAACTTAATATTTGGTACAGAAACCTTTGTTTGCAATTACAGAGATCATACGTTTCCTGTAGGTCTTGACCAGGTTTGCACACACTGCAGCAGGGATTTTGGCCCACTCCTCCATACAGACCTTCTCCAGATCCTTCAGGTTTCGGGGCTGTCACTGGGCAATACGGACTTTCAGCTCCCTAGCCAGTCTCCAGGACCTTGAGATGCTTCTTACGGAGCCACTCCTTAGTTGCCCTGGCTGTGTGTTTCGGGACGTTGTCATGCTGGAAGACCCAGCCACGACCCATCTTCAATGCTCTTACTGAGGGAAGGAGGTTGTTGGACAAGATCTCGTGATACATGGCCCCATCCATCCTCCCCTCAATACGGTGCAGTCGTACTGTCCCCTTTGGAGAAAAGCATCCCCAAAGAATGATGTTTCCACCTCCATGCTTCACGGTTGGGATGGTGTTCTTGGGGTTGTACTCATCCTTCTTCTTCCTCCAAACACGGCGAGTGGAGTTTACACCAAAAAGCTATATTTTTGTCTCATCAGACCACATGACCTTCTCCCATTCCTCCTCTGGATCATCCAGATGGTCATTGGCAAACTTCAGACGGGCCTGGACATGCGCTGGCTTGAGCAGGGGGACCTTGCGTGCGCTGCAGGATTTTAATCCATGACGGCGTAGTGTGTTACTAATGGTTTTCTTTGAGACTGTGGTCCCAGTTCTCTTCAGGTCATTGACCAGGTCCTGCCGGGTAGTTCTGGGCTGATCCCTCACCTTCCTCATGATCATTGATGCACCACATTTACATTTTAGTCATTTAGCAGACGCTCTTATCCAGAGCGACTTACAGTTAGTGCATACATAAAAAAAATGTCATACCCCCCGTGGGAATCGAACCCACAACCCTGGCGTTGCAAACGCCATGCTCTACGAACTGAGCTAAATCCCCTGCCAGCCATTCCCTCCCCTACCCTAGACGACGCTGGGCCAAATTGTGCGCCGCCCCATGGGTCTCCCGGTCGCGGCCGGCTACGACAGAGCCTGGATACGAACCAGGATCTCTAGTGGCACAGCTAGCACTGCGCCACTCGGGGAACTTCCTGACTGATGTCTTGAGATGTTGCTTCAATATATCCAAATAATTTTCCTTCCTCATGACGCCATCTATTTTGTGAAGTGCACCAGTCCCTCCTGCAGCAAAGTACCCCCACAACATGATGCTGCCACCCTCGTGCTTCACGGTTGGGATTGTGTTCTTCGGCTTGCAAGCCATCCCCTTTTTCCTCCAAACATAACGATGGTCATTATGGCCAAACAGTTCAATTTTAGTTTCATCAGACCAGAGGACATTTCTCCAAAAAGTAAGATCTTTGTCCCCATGTGCAGTTGCAAACCGTGGTCTGGCTTTTTTATGGTGGTTTTGGAGCAGTGGCTTCTTCCTTGCTGAGCGCCCTTTCAGGTTATTATTATTATTATTTATTTTTTTTCACCTTTATTTAACCAGGTAAACCAGTTGAGAACAAGTTCTCATTTACAACTGCGACCTGGCCAAGATAAAGCAAAGCAGTGCGATAAAAACAACAACACAGAGTTACATATGGGGTAAAACAAAACAAAGTCAAAAATACAACAGAAATACATATATATACAGTGTGTGCAAATGTAGCAAGTTATGGAGGTAAGGCAATAAATAGGCTATAGTGCAAAATAATTACAATTAGTATTAACACTGGAATGATAGATGTGCAAGAGATGATGTGCAAATAGAGATACTGGGGTACAAATGAGCAAAATAAATAACAATATAGGGATGAGGTAGTTGGGCGGGCTAATTTCAGATGGGCTGTGTACAGGTGCAGTGATCGGTAAGGTGCTCTGACAACTGATGCTTAAAGTTAGTGAGGGAGATAAGTGTCTCCAGCTTCAGAGATTTTTGCATTTCGTTCCAGTCATTGGCAGCAGAGAACTGGAAGGAATTGCAGCCAAAGGAGGTGTTGGCTTTGGGGATGACCAGTGAGATATACCTGCTGGAGCGCAGACTACGGGTGGGTGTTGCTATGGTGACCAATGAGCTAAGATAAGGCGGGGATTTGCCTAGCAGTGATTTATAGATGGCCTGGAGCCAGTGGGTTTGGCGACGAATATATAGTGAGGACCAGCCAACAAGAGCGCTCAGGTCACAGTGGTGGGTAGTATATGGCTTTGGAGACAAAACGGATGGCACTGTGATAGACTACATCCAATTTGCTGAGTAGAGTGTTGGAGGCTATTTTGTAAATGACATCGCCGAAGTCAAGGATCGGTAGGATAGTCAGTTTTACGAGGGCATGTTTGGCAGCATGAGTGAAGGAGGCTTTGTTGCGAAATAGGAAACCGATTCTAGATTTAACTTTGGATTGGAGATTCTTAATGTGAGTCTGGAAGGAGAGTTTACAGTCTAACCAGACACCTAGATATTTGTAGTTGTCCACATACTCTAGGTCAGACCCGTCGAGAGTAGTGATTCTAGTCGGGTGGGCGGGTGCAAGCAGCGTTCGGTTGAAGAGCATGCATTTAGTTTTACTAGTGTTTAAGAGCAGTTGGAGGCTACTGAAGGAGTGTTGTATGGCATTGAAGCTCGTTTGGAGGTTTGTTAACACAGTGTCCAATGAAGGGCCAGATGTATACAAAATGGTGTCGTCTGCGTAGAGGTGGATCTGAGAGTCACCAGCAGCAAGAGCGACGTCATTGATATACACAGAGAAAAGAGTCGGCCCAAGAATTGAACCCTGTGGCACCCCCATAGAGACTGCCATAGGTCCAGACAACAGGCCCTCCGATTTCACACATTGAACTCTATCTGAGAAGTAGTGGTGAACCAGGTGAGGCAGTCATTTGAGAAACCAAGGCTATTTAGTCTGCCAATAAGAATGTGGTGGTTGACAGAGTCGAAAGCCTTGGCCAGATCAATGTAAACGGCTGCACAGTACTGTCTATTATCGATCGCGGTTATAATATCGTTTAGGACCTTGAGCGTGGCTGAAGTGCACCAATGACCAGCTCGGAAACCGGATTGCATAGCGGAGAAGGTACGGTGGGATTCGAAATGGTCGGTGATCTGTTTGTTGACTTGGCTTTCAAAAACGTTTGAAAGGCAGGGCAGGATGGATATGGGTCTGTAACAGTTTGGATCTAGAGTGTCACCCCCTTTGAAGAGGGGGATGACCGCGGCTGCTTTCCAATCTCTGGGGATCTCAGACGTTACGAAAGAGAGGTTGAACAGGCTAGTAATAGGGGTTGCGACAATTTCGGCGGCTAGTTTTAGAAAGAAAGGGTCCAGATTGTCTAGCCCAGATGATTTGTAGGGGTCCAGATTATGCAGCTCTTTCAGAACATCAGCTGTCTGGATTTGTGTGAAGGAGAAGCGGGGGGGGCATGGGCAAGTTGCAGCGGAGGGTGCAGAGCTGGTGGCCGGGGTAGTGGTAGCCAGGTGGAAAGCATGGCCAGCCGTAGCAAAATGCTTGTTGAAATTCTCGATTATTGTAGATTTATCGGTGGTGATAGTGTTTCCTAGCCTCAGTGCAGTGGGCAGCTGGGAGGAAGTGCTCTTATTTTCCATGGACTTTACAGTGTCCCAAAACTTTTTGGAGTTAGTGCTACAGGATGCAAATTTCTGTTTGAAAAAGTTAGCCTTTGCTTTCCTAACTGCTTGTGTATATTGGTTCCTAACTTCCCTGAAAAGTTGCATATCGCGGGGGCTATTTGATGCTAATGCAGTACGCCACAGGATGTTTTTGTGCTGGTCAAGGGCAGTCAAGTCTGAGGAGAACCAGGGGCTATATCTGTTCTTAGTTCTGTATTTTTTGAATGGGGCATGTTTATTTAAGATTGAGAGGAAATTACTTTTAACGAACAACCAGGCATCCTCTACTGACGGAATGAGATCTATATCCATCCAGGATACCTGGGCCAGGTCAATTAGGAAGGCCTGCTCGCTGAAGTGTTTTTGGGAGCGTTTGACAGTGATGGGGGTGGTCGTTTGACCGCGGACCCGTTACGGACGCAGGCAATAAGGCAGTGATCGCTGAGATCCTGGTTGAAGACAGCGGAGGTGTATTTAGAGGGTAAGTTAGTCAGGATGATATCTATGAGGGTACCCATGTTTACGGATTTAGGGTTGTACCTGGTAGGTTCGTTGATAATTTGTGTGAGATTGAGGGCATCTAGTTTAGATTGTAGGATGGCCGGGGTGTTAAGCATATCCCAATTTAGGTCACCAAGCAGTACGAAATCTGAGGATAGATGGGGGGCAATCAATTCACATATGGTGTCCAGGGCACAGCTGGGGGCTGAGGGGGGTCTGTAGCAAGCGGCAACAGTGAGAGATTTATTTCTGGAAAGGTGGATTTTTAGAAGTAGAAGCTCAAACTGTTTGGGCACAGACCTGGATAGTATGATAGAGCTCTGCAGGCTATCTCTACAGTAGATTGCAACTCAAATCAAATCAAATCAAATTTTATTGGTCACATGCGCCGAATACAACAGGTGCAGACATTACAGTGAAATGCTTACTTACAGCCCTTAACCAACAGTGCATTTGTTTTAAACAAAAAAGTAAGAATAAAACAACAACAAAAAAGTGTTGAGAAAAAAAGAGCAGAAGTAAAATAAAGTGACAGTAGGGAGGCTATATATACAGTAAAATAAAGTGACAGTAGGGAGGCTATATATACAGGGGGGTACCGTTGCATAGTCAATGTGCGGGGGCACCGGCTAGTTGAGGTAGTTGAGGTAATATGTACATGTGGGTAGAGTTAAAGTGACTATGCATAAATACTTAACAGAGTAGCAGCAGCGTAAAAAGGATGGGGTGGGGGGGGCAGTGCAAATAGTCCGGGTAGCCATGATTAGCTGTTCAGGAGTCTTATGGCTTGGGGGTAGAAGCTGTTGAGAAGTCTTTTGGACCTAGACTTGGCACTCCGGTACCGCTTGCCGTGCGGTAGCAGAGAGAACAGTCTATGACTAGGGTGGCTGGAGTCTTTGACAATTTTGAGGGCCTTCCTCTGACACCGCCTGGTATAGAGGTCCTGGATGGCAGGGAGCTTTGCCCCAGTGATGTACTGGGCCGTACGCACTACCCTCTGTAGTGCCTTGCGGTCAGAGGCCAAGCAGTTGCCATACCAGGCGGTGATGCAACCAGTCAGGATGCTCTCGATGGTGCAGCTGTAGAATTTTTTGAGGATCTGAGGACCCATGCCAAATCTTTTTAGTCTCCTGAGGGGGAATAGGCTTTGTCGTGCCCTCTTCACGACTGTCTTGGTGTGTTTGGACCATGATAGTTCGTTGGTGATGTGGACACCAAGGAACTTGAAGCTCTCAACCTGTTCCACTACAGCCCCGTCGATGAGAATGGGGGCGTGCTCAGTCCTCTTTTTTTTCCTGTAGTCCACAATCATCTCCTTTGTCTTGGTCACGTTGAGGGAGAGGTTGTTGTCCTGGCACCACACGGCCAGATCTCTGACCTCCTCCCTATAGGCTGTCTCATCGTTGTTGGTGATCAGGCCTACCACTGTTGTGTCGTCGGCAAACTTAATGATGGTGTTGGAGTCGTGCCTGGCCATGCAGTCATGGGTGAACAGAGAGTACAGGAGGGGACTGAGCACGCACCCCTGAGGGGCCCCCGTGTTGAGGATCAGTGTGGCAGATGTGTTGTTACCTACCCTTACCACCTGGGGGCGGCCCGTCAGGAAGTCCAGGATCCAGTTGCAGAGGGAGGTGTTTAGTCCCAGGATCCTTAGCTTAGTGATGAGCTTAGAGGGCACTATGGTGTTGAATGCTGAGCTGTAGTCAATGAATAGCATTCTCACGTAGGTGTTCCTCTTGTCCAGGTGGGAAAGGGCAGTGTGGAGTGCGATAGAGATTGCATCATCTGTGGATCTGTTGGGGCGGTATGCAAATTGGAGTGGGTCTAGGGTTTCTGGGATTATGCTGTTGATGTGAGCCATGACCAGTCTTTCAAAGCACTTCATGGCTACAGACGTCAGTGCTACGGGTCGGTAGTCATTTAGGCAGGTTATCTTAGAGTTCTTGGGCACGGGGACTATGGTGGTCTGCTTGAAACATGTTGGTATTACAGACTCAGTCAGGGACATGTTGAAAATGTCAGTGAAGACACTTGCCAGTTGGTCAGCACATGCTCGGAGTACACGTCCTGGTAATCCGTCTGGCCCTGCGGCCTTGTGAATGTTGACCTGCTTAAAAGTCTTACTCACATCGGCTACGGAGAGCGTGATCACATAGTCGTCCGGAACAGCTGGTGCTCTCGTGCATGCTTCAGTGTTGCTTGCCTCGAAGCGAGCATAGAAGTGGTTTAGCTCGTCTGGTAGGCTTGTGTCACTGGGCAGCTCACGGCTGTGCTTCCCTTTGTAGTCTGTAATAGTTTTCAAGCCCTGCCACATCCGACGAGCGTCAGAGCCAGTGTAGTATGATTCAATCTTAGACCTGTATTGACTCTTTGCCTGTTTGATGGTTCGTCGGAGGTCATAGCGGGATTTCTTATAAGCGTCCGGGTTAGAGTCCCGTTCCTTGAAAGCGGCAGCTCTACCCTTTAGCTCAGTGCGGATGTTTCCTGTAATCCATGGCTTCTGGTTGGGGTATGTACGTACGGTCACTGTGGGGACGACATCATCGATGCACTTATTGATGAAGCCAGTGACTGATGTGGTGTACTCCTCAATGCTGTCTGAAGAATCCCGGAACATGTTCCAGTCTGTGCTAGCAAAACAGTCCTGTAGCTTAGCATCTGCGTCATCTGACCACTTTTTTATTAGCCGAATCACTGGTGCTTCCTGCTTCAGTTTTTGCTTATAAGCAGGAATCAGGAGGATAGAGTTATGGTCAGATTTGCCAAATGGAGGGCGAGGGAGAGCTTTGTATGCGTCTTTGTGTGTGGAGTAAAGGTGGTCTAGAGTTTTTTCCCCTCTGGTTGCACATTTAACATGCTGGTAGAAATGAGGTAGAACGGATTTAAGTTTCCCTGCATTAAAGTCCCCGGCTACTAGGAGCGCTGCATCTGGATGAGCGTTTTCCTGTTGATTAATGGCCTTGTACAACTCATTCAGTGCAATCTTAATGCCAGCATTGGTTTGTGGTGGTAAATAGACAGCTATGAAAAATATAGATGAAAACTCTCTTGGTAAATAGTGTGGTCTACAGCTTATCATAAGATACTCTACCTCAGGCGAGCAAAACCTCGAGACTTCCTTAGTATTTGATTTTGTGCACCAGCTGTTGTTTACAAATATACACAGACCGCCACCCTTTGTCTTACCAGAGTCTGCAGTTCTGTCCTGTCGATGTAGCGTATAGCCCGCTAGCTGAATGTTGTCATTGTTGTCGTTCAGCCACGACTCCGTGAAACATAAGATATTACAGTTTTTAATGTCCCGTTGGTAGGATAACCGTAATCTTAAATCGTCAATTTTATTCTCAAAAGATTGAACATTGGCTAATAGGATTGATGGGAGAGGCAGTTTACTCGTTCGCCGTCGGATCCTTACAAGGCACCCGGATCTGCGTCCACGATATCTCCGTCTCTTCCTCACACGAATGACGGGGATCTGGGCCTTGTCGGGAGTCTGTAGAATATCCTTCGCGAACGCCTCGTTGAAGAAAAAGTCTTCGTCCAACGCGAGGTGAGTAATCGCTGTCCTGATATCCAGAAGCTCTCTTTGGTTATAAGAGACGATGGCAGAAACATTATGTACAAAATAAATTACAAATAACGCGGAAAAACACACATAGTAGTACAATTGGTTAGAGGGCTGTAAAACGGCAGCCATCTTCTTCCGGCGCTGTTCTATTTGTCTCCACCCCCTTTGGCAGTTCTATCTAGACGGAAAATGTTATAGTTGGGGATGGAAATTTCAGAATTTTTGGTGGCCTTCCTAAGCCAGGATTCAGACACTGCTAGAACATCAGGGTTGGCGGAGTGTGCTAACGCAGTGAATAACTCAAACTTAGGAAGGAGGCTTCTGATATTTACGTGCAGAAAACCAAGACTTTTACGGTTACAGAAGTCAACAAATGATAGCTCCTGGGGAGTAGGAGTGATACTGGGGGCTGCAGGGCCTGGGTTAGCCTCTACATCATCAGAGGAACAGAGGAGGACTAGAATAAGGATACGACTAAAGGCTTTAAGAACTGGTCTTCTAGTGCGTTGGGTACATAGAATAAAGGGGGCAGTTCTACGGGCGTTGTAGAAAAGATTCAGGGCATTATGTACAGAAAAGGATATGGAAGGATATGAGTACAGTTCAGGTAACCCTAAGCGTTGGGTAACAATGAAAGAGATAGCGTCACTGGAGGCACCGATTGAGCCGGTCTCGGCGTGTATGGGGGGTGGAACAAAGGAACTATTTGAGGCAGTTTGAGAGGGACTAGGGGTTCTACAGTGAAATTGTATAATAAGAACTAACCCAAACAGCAATAGGCAAGGCATAATTGACATGGGAGAGAGGCATAAAGCAGTCACAGGTGTTATTAGAGAGAGCTAAGACAACAGCTGGAAATAGCGATAACGTTTGGGCTAAGGCTAAACAGAATAAACAGGACAGGGTACCGTGTAAAGGAACAGTCCAGCAGGCATCAGCTGTGCAGCTGAGTGATCATAAGGTCCAGTGAACAGCAATATGTGAGTCCGAGAGCAGGTCAAATTGGTGCTTCAGCACAGCTAGCAGGGAGCACAGTTGTAGTTTGCGTGTGCTAGCGGGCCGGGGCTGGCAGATGGATCTTCGTGGTCGTCGCAACGGGAAGCCTGTTGAAACCACATCAGACTATTTCGTCGGCAAACCAGTCGTGTTGGATCGGCGGGGCTCAGTGTCAACACTAGGAGGTCCCGTCCGGTTGACAGAGAGGTAGATAGCCGGGAGATGGGCCTGAGGCTAGCTCAAGGCTAACTGGTGCTTGCTTCAGGGCAATGGTAATCAGCCAACAACAGGTTGCAGCTAGCTAGCTGGTTGCGATGATCCGGCGCTAGGGTCCAGTGATTCCGGCAGAAAGTCCAATAAGCTCTGGGTCGATAGCACGCTGGGTCGATAGCACGCTGTGCAGACTGGCCGACGAATTGTCCAGACTAGAGCTAGAGCTGGCTGGTGGATAGTGTAGGCCACGGACAGTGGTGAAGACACTAACGGTGACTAATATCAAGTAGCCATTCAGTTGCAGCTACACTAGTTTCAGCTAGTTTCAGCTTACGGTTCTTGATGAAAGTTATAAATAAATAATAGAATCCTTTCCACGTTGGGTGAGGCGGGTTGCAGGAAAGTATATTTAGTTAAAGAATGAAAAGTAAAAATTGAGAAATATATACAAAATAGACAAAAAAAACAAGAAACGGGATATTTACACAAGGAGAATGAATAAAAGCGACCGCACTGCTACGCCATCTTGGACCCTCTTCTGTTGATATAGGACTAGTTTTACTATGGATATCGATACTTTTGTACCTGTTTCCTCCAGCATCTTCACAAGGTCCTTTGCTGTTGTTCTGGTATTGATTTGCACTTTTCACACCAAAGTACATTAATCTCTAGGAGACAGAACGCGTCTCCTCCCTGAGCGGAATGACAGCTGCGTGGTCCCATGGTGTTTATACTTGTGTACTATTGTTTGTACAGATGAACGTGGTACCTTCAGGCGTTTGGAAATTGCTCCCAAGGATGAACCAGACTTGTGGAGGTTTACAAGTTACTTTCTGAGGTCTTGGCTGATTTCTTTTGATTTTCCCATGATGTAAAGCAAAGAGGCACTGAGTTTGAAGGTAGGCCTTGAAATACATCCACAGGTACGCCTCCAATTGACTAAAATTATGTCAATTAGCCTATCAGAAGCTTCTAAAGCCATGACATCATTTTGTGGAATTTTCCAAGCTGTTTAAAGGCACACTCAACTTAGTGTATGTAAACTTCTGACCCACTGGAATTGTGATACAGTGAATTATAAGTGAAATAATCTGACTGTAAACAATTGTTGGAAAAATTACTTGTGTCATGCACAAAGTAGATGTCCTAACCGACTTGCTAAAACTATAGTTTGTTAACAAGATCTTTGTGGAGTGGTTGAAAAACAAGTTTTAATGACTCCAACCAGGGTACTGGGCGGAGGCCGGCTAGTGGTGAGTGTTTAATGGTATGATGGCCTGAAGATACAGTCTCTTGTTCCCAGCCTTGATGCACCTGTACTGTCTCCGCCTTCTAGATGGTCCTTGATGATCTTCTTGTCCTTCCTGTGACACCGGTTGGGCTGAACGCACCACCCTCTGGAGAGTCCTGCAGTTGCAGATGGTGAAATTGCCATTCCAAGCAATGATACAGCCCAAAAGGATACTCTCAATTGTGCATCTGTAAAAGTTTGTGAGGGTCTTAGGGACCAAGACAAATTTCTTCAGCTCCTAAGGTTGAAGAGGCACTGTTGCGCCTTCTTCACCATGCTGTCTGTGTGAAGGGACCATTTCAGGTTGTCAGTGATGTGCACGCCGAGGAACTTGAAACGTTTTACACTTTCCGCTGTGGCCCCGTCAATTATATTTTCCTGGCACCACTCTGCCAGGGCCCTCACCTCCTCACTGTAGGCTGTCTCGTTGTTGTTGGTAATCAGGCCTACCACTCTTTGATTTGGTGGACAACTTGAAGCAAGTGGGGACAACAGACTGGGATATGGAAAGATTGAATATGTCTGTAAATAGGCTTGGGCGGTATCCAGATTATCATATCGTCATACCGGCCTTCTCTCAACCCGGGTTTTACGGTATTACCGGCTAGCACACAAGGGGGCGCTAAAAACACAAGAAAAGCCTATTGGGCCTCTATTACCAGAATGCTAACAAAATTAGCAAATACCTACAGCAAAATCACATAGACGCTATTAGCTGAATGTTAACGAGCAAAAACGAATATAAACTAATTGCAAAGAAAGGCAAATACAGCTCATAAAGTAATACAAGCATAGCTAATAGCTACCGAATGGCATTTTCGGTGAGTGTGGACATTTACAAGCGAATGTGAATGAGGGAAATTGTGCAAATGAACAAAGTTGTGATGCATGCTTTTCTGAAGGAAGAGCAGCATGTGTGCAAGGAGCAGAGGGGACAAGAACAGAGGAGAAAAAAAAACTAGTAGGAAGCACGACAATAATGACAACTGTACAGATAACTCATCCAGAGCTATTTGACTTCTGGCAGAAAGCCATTCTAAGATATCTGATGGCAAATATTTTGTAGTGAATTGCATACAAGTGTAACTTCATCACCTCATGTGCGCTGCACAACAGAGATTTGCTGATAGGTATAGAATAATATGGACTCAACAGCTCCCGCTTTCTCCCATTGTGCTATTTACAAACAAATACGTGACTGGCTCAACTGTTCTGGGGAACTACGGTAAGCTTCATAATGTAAGGTATTGCACAAGATGACTGCAGGTATTTACTTATAAAGTAGCTACAAATATTCAAATTTATAGAAAATCTTTGAATAAATAGTTTTGACTGTATTGAAAAACCATCCCGTGGTTTTTTCCAAGTACCCCGGTATACGGTATATACAATATACCGGCCAAGCCAATCCGTAAACAATCCAGCCAGCTGGTCTGCACATGCTTTTAGGACATGGCTTGGGATGCCGTCTGGGCCAGCAGCCTTGCGAGGGTTAACATGCTTAAATGACTTCCTCACATCGGCCACGGTAAACGAGAGCACACAATCCTCGTGACCGCCGGGGGCCCGCATTGGCGGCTCAATCTTGTTTTTCTCGAAGTGGGCGAAGAAGGTGTTCAGCTCGTCCGGGAGCGAAGCGTTAGTGTGGCACTCCAGTACCGCTTGCTGTGGGGTAGCAGAGAGAACATTCTATGACTAGGGTGGCTGGAGTCTTTGGCAATTTTTAGGGCCTTCCTCTGACACCGCCTGGTATAGAGGTCCTGGATGGCAGGAAGCTTGACCCAGTGATGTACTGGGCCGTACGCACTACCCTCTGTAGTGCCTTGCGGTCAGAGGCCAAGCAGTTGCCATACCAGGCGGTGATGCAACCAGTCAGGATTCTGTTGATGGTGCAGCTGTATAACTTTTTGAGGATCTGAGGACCCATGCCAAATCTTTTCAGTCTCCTGAAGGGGAATAGGATTTGTCGTGCCCTCTTCACGACTGTCTTTGTGTGTTTGGACCATGACAGTTCGTTGGTGACGTGGACATCCACTACATCCCCGTCGATTAGAATGGGGGCGTGCTCTGCCCTCTTTTTCCTGTAGTCCACGATCATCTCCTTTGTCTTGATCATGTTGAGGGAGAGGTTGCTATCCTTTCCCTTTATAATCCGTGATTGTCTGTGGAGTCCCTGCCACATACGTCTCATGTCTAAGCCGTTGAATTGCGACTCCACTTTGTCTTTCTACTGTCGTTTTGCCTCTTTGATTGTCTTACAGAGGTCGTAGCTGGTCTTTTTGTCTGGTTGTACACGTCCATGTTCCCAGTTACCTTGCCATGGTTAAATGCGCTTTCAGTTTTGCGCAAATGCTGCCATCTATCCACAGTTTTTGGTTTGGATAAGTTGTAATCATCACAGAGTGAACAACATCCTCTATGCACTTCCTGATGAACGGCGTCACCAAGTCAGTTTTTACGTCGATACTATTCTCAGAGGCGACTCGGAACATTTCCCAGTCCGTGTGATCAAAACAATCTTGAAGCACTGATTCCGATTGGTCAGACCAACGTTGAACAGTCCTTACCACGGGAGCTTCCTGAGGTGCGTTCAGCTCACTTGAATGTTTGAACTAAACGACACATTCCCCCAAAATAATAATAATAATAATATGCCATTTAGCAGACGCTTTTATCCAAAGCGACTTACAGTCATGCGTGCATACATTTTTTTGTGTATGGGTGGTCCCGGGGATCGAACCCACTACCTTGGCGTTACAAGCGCCGTGCTCTACCAGCTGAGCTACAGAGGACCACAAATGCTATTGTACGTTCTTGAACAGACTTTGAGGTACATTTGCTCCGGTTTTGTGGGTGTGGCTTGAAGCAATGCATTACATAAAGGGCAGTGACCATGCTGACAGCATTCCCCAAACCACAACCCAACTCCTCCTCGTTTTTCAACTGGTCGTTCAGTACAGCACTGTTTCCATTCAATTGAACGTTCCAGAACATAAAAACGTACTGAACGCAGCCCTGTTTAAGTTTCTGCCTATGGGTGGGGAGGAGCAGAGTGGAGGCGTGATCTGATTTGTCGAAGGGAGGGTGTGGAGGGCCTTATGTAGCTGTCCCGGAAGTGAGTGTAGCAATGATCCAGGGTCCTTGTTGCACGTGTAGCACAGGAGATGTGTTGATAGAATTTCTGTAGCGTTTTCCTCAGTTTTCCTTTATTAAAGTCCCCAGCTACAATAAGTGTGGCCTCAGGATTTCTAGTTTGCACATAGTTCAGTGTAGTTCCTTGAGAGCCGTTGTGGTGTCGGCTTGGGGGGGGGATATACACTGCGGTGACGATGCTCGAAGCCAATTATCTTAGGAGGTAATGCGGTCGGCATTTGATGGTGAGGTATTCCAGATTGGGAGAACAAAAGGACTTGAGTTGCTGTACGTTACCACAATCACACCATGAGTTGTTAATCATGAAACAAACCCCTCCTCCTCCTTTTTTTTCCTGAAGTGTTCTTTCTTCCTGTCCACACGATGGACGGAGAACCTCGCTGGCTGAATGGACAAGGACAATTTATCCGGAAAGAGCCATGATTCCGTAAAACAGAGAGTGTTACAGTCCCTGATGTCTTTCTGGAAGGATATCCTCGCCCTGAGCTCGTCTACTTTATTGTCCAGGGACTGAACAATAGCGAATAATATACTCGGAAGCAGTGGATGGTATGCACGACGCATGAGACAGAGCGACATTCTGGCAACTGACCAATGTTGTATTACATTTCATGAATATTCACAAGCTACTCTGTGCTCGCCTTACAAATTGATTTGGGATAGAGCCTTGGGAGCTTCTCAGAATGGGCCACACCTCTGTGAGTGTCTTGCCTGGGTCTCTCCATTCGCTCCAGTTCCAGAATTCATGAACTCAGTGCATCTGAATAATTAAAAGGACTCTACTCCTTTTATTTGCATGTTCTATTATTCAGTAGCATGAAAAGACTGGAGGAATTATCATTGTATATATGGAGCAGATGCTCTGTTTCAGGAGGGTTGGTGTGCAGTTTGTATGAGTGTCTGGCTGTGTGTGTGTTGGTGTTTGCGGTGCGTGTGCATGCGTGCATGCATCTGTGCGTGCGTGTGTCTCTATGTTTACCTATGATCCCACAGTCACCCCTTTTCAATTGTTTGTTCTGTCTTCGCTCTCTCTCCCATACAGTGAAACCACTCTATAGATATGTACATTCATCAATCTGACTCCATTATTGTGCAAATCATTGCATCACCGACGCAGTATGACTATAATGAACATGTGTCTATCTTGCACCGTTATGCAGTTATTAAGAGGCTAGATACAAATAGCTAATCCTGGCAACCAGTGTTCTAGCATTCATTTATTGAGTCAAGTAGATCAGGGATGTCAAGGTGGAACCCAAGCATTTGCTATGTGTAGTGTAAATAACAACTACCAATAGACCTACTAAATTATGACCGTAAAGTCAATCAAATAATCACTCTGTAAAATTAGGAATGTATTTACTCAATTAAACTAATAGGATGTATTAGTCACAAAATTATTGACACTCAAACAATTACAGTGTACATGAAATACATGATGCATTACAGAATAACAGAGTAAATTACTATCAACTAAATAAGACTCAACGTGGTTACATGTGTCTTCAATTCAGAATAATCTTGAAGAGAAAAAACTGTGTGTCTGATACACACAGGAGTTTGCTAACAAGTATGAGCGAATTCACCATCCTTTTAAGCAAATTCAAGCGGGAATGCACCCTCAACCTGAATTAAGATTTCTTAGCAGTTTGCTAGTGAAAACAATAGGCAGGAACAACACACACAGGTTCTAATCTGATCAACTCAATGTGAATGCTATGACCAGACAGCAGGAATGTGCCTGATAACCAGTCAACCCAACATACAATTTAAATTTAAAACCAGTCACTTAAAAAATACATAAACCAGAAAACATACAATGCAATAAGACATATCAAAATGTGCAGCTCTTTATAAACTCTTGAAACAAACCAAACACAACAATTTAATTCACACAGTAACTTTCATTTCGGCAATTCAAGTTATCAGTCGTCACACCTTTCCTGGCATCAGTGACCCCAGGGCTTCCGTGGGAATGTCTCGGCCTGGAGATTGCCACAGCGAAGGTGTGGCTCTCTCCTGTGAGATACAAATATGCAACCATCTATCCGGACAATGCCAAATTGAATCAACATGCCAGGCTAGTCGCTAGACGCCTCTTCGTAACTAGCCTTCGTCACCGTTCACGTTTGTTCACTATTTCTATTTTTCGACTACAGTAGTCCCCAATTTGGAACCTCTGGGTTGTGAAATAACAGCATTGAACCAGTGTTATAGTTACCACAAGCACGCTCGCCAAGACACACGCGCAATACACCAAGTCCCAGGTGTATGCCTATTTGGTCGAGGCAGTGGAAGCGCTCAACAAGATGGTCGCCGCCTGATTGGCCTGCATGAACTGCTCGTCCATGGCAGTTACAGTCCTGGTGCTCTCCTCATAGAAGGTATCCTCCCACCAGGATGGAACGTCAGTCTCCAGGGGTACCCTGTCTAGAATGCTCAGCTGTCCCATTGTGGAATCCTACATCACTTCCATCAGAAGGTGTGGCTTAGCTGGACATGTCAGGCCCATCATCGGAGTCCGTTTTGCAAATTCGATGACGCACCACTGTTTGTGAAATACTTAGAAAGCATTTGAAATAGCAATACAGTGAAAGTACACACATCAACATGCTAACATTCTGCAATGTATGAGAAATACAGATTATGCACTGAATGTCTCATGACAAGAGTTGTGAATAAAGTTTCCCTATCACTAATATAGAAAATAGCCAACAAAGTTATCCCATCAACTATCTCATCCAAACAGAGGACGAGTTAGGGGACACACAATCTGGATGGACAAAAGGAAACACGCATAAAACAAGCACAACAAAAAAACATACCATCCAGCATCATTGCAAAAAAACATTCTAACAGTATACGGAACAAATGAGAACACTCTAAAACAATCCGTATAGTGTTGAGCAAATAGTAACATGAATTTAGTAAATTCAAGTTGTCATCAGTCGTCACACCTCTCCTCGCGTCAGTGACCCCAGTACTTCCGTGCGAACGGCTCGTCCTGGACATTGCCACGGCGAAGGTGTGGCTCTCTCCTGTGAGATGCAGATATACAGCCATCCATACGGATAGTGCCAAATTGAATCAAGATGCCAAGCTAGTCGCATCTTCATCACTGGCCTTCATTATCGTTCACATTTCTTCACTCTCTATTTTTCGACTACAACTCAACCAGACAATACTGCAGGTTCTCTGTCTATTTCGGAGTTATCTGCAGTCATCCAAATCTGTAGAGTCACAGGCCAGGCCTGCTGATGTCTGGCTGGATCACAAAGCACACCTGATGCAGAGAGCGCTGTTATTTACTGAGAGCACTGTGTGTGCACTGATCCATCCCACAGTGCTAACAGTTCCAGGCTGTCCAGTGAGGAGGTTGGGTTGCTGGTCAACATCTTGGGAGACCAGGGCCCTCCCAGGTGCCGCAGTATGTCAGTCACATTGCATGCTTTCCTAATCAAAGGTGATGACGTTGGATGCCAACTGTCATTGTTGGAGTGGGTCCCAGAAATCAGCCGTCATCCTCTCAACGGTGCCAGCAAGCACTGTGACGCAATGACACCAATACTGAAAATACCCTTCGGATGGAAAGTGGGAGGTGGGAAGCAGGCACTGTAGCAATCACACTCCCTAGGTAACTGGACAAGTGACATCTTCATCATGGACTTGAGGCCACTTATAGCGTAATACTGTCATTTTGATGTGTTTGATGAGCTTGGTTCAATGTCAAATCTTTCATTTAGCGGTGATAATGGATATGGCTACTTTAGGCCTAACACAATACAAGTGCTAGACTATAGTTACCCCAGTTCTGCCCAGTTCTTTCAGATATCATTTTTTACACATTTAGGTAGCCGTCTGTCTCACCACTCTGTGCTCTTCACGGTGCCACCGCCATCTGATTCACATCTCTGGAAGAGAGAAACAGAAGTAGAAGGAAGGAGATCCTTTATCTAAAAGGGTCACCTGACTTGATATACTGTACACCGAACAAAAATATAAATGCAACATGCAACAATTTCAACGATTTTACTGGGTTTATATAAGGATGCATGTCTGTATCAGTCAATTGAAATGAATTCATTAGGCACTAAGTTATGTATTTCTCATGACTGGGAATACAGATATGTATCTGTTGGTCACAGATACTGTACCTTAAAAAAAAGTAGGGTCGTGGATCAGAAAACCAGTCAGTAGTTGGTGTGACGACCATTTGCCTCATGCAGCGCGACACATCTCCGTTGCATATAGTTGATCAGGCTGTTGATTGTGGCCTGTAGAATGTTGTCCCACTCCTCTTCAATGGCTGTGCGAAGTTACTGGATATTGGCAAGAACTGGAACACGCTGTCGGACACATCAATCCAGAGCATCCCAAACATGCTCAATGGGTGAAATGTCTGAGTATGCAGGCCATGGAAGAACTAGGACATTTTCAGCTTCCAAGAATTGTGTCCAGTTCCTTGCGACATAGGGACGTGCATTATCGTGCTGAAACATGAGGTGATGACGGCGGAAGAATGGCACGATAATGGGTCTCAGGATCTCGTTACGGTATCTCTGTGCATTCAAATTGCCTTTGATAAAATGCAATTGTGTTTGTTGTCTGTAGCTTATGCCTGCCCATACCATAACCCAACCGCCACCATGGGGAGCTCTGTTCACAACATTGACTTCAGCAAACCTCTCGCCCAAACGACGCCATAGATGCTGTCTGCCATCGGCCCGGTACAGTTGAAACCGGGATTCATCCGTGAAGAGCAATCAATCAATCAATCAAATATATTTATAAAGCCCTTTTTTACATCAACAGATGTCACAAAGTGCTATACAGAAACCCAGCCTAAAACCCCAAACAGCAAGCAATGCTGATGTATGCACTCACTAACTGTAAGTCGCTCTGGAGAAGAGCGTCTGCTAAATGACTAAAATGTAAATGTAAATGTAGAAGCACAGTGGCTAGGAAAAACTCCCTAGAAAGGCAGGAACCTAGGAAGAAACCTAGAGAGGAACCAGGCTCTTCTGGCTGTGCCGGGTGGAGATTATAAGAGTACATGGCCATTTACGCCAGATTGTTCTTCAAGATGTTCAAACATTCAGCAGGGTCAAATAATAATCAGTGGTTGTAGAGGGTGCAACAGGTCAGTACCTCAGGAGTAAATGTCAGTTGGCTTTTCATAGCCGAGCATTCAGAGGTCACGACAGCGAGCGAGCGAGAGATAGAGAGACAGCGAGCGAGCGAGTGAGAGAGAGAAAGAAAGAGAGAGAGAGAAAGAGAGAGAAAGAGAAAGAGAGAGAAAAACAGCAGGTCTGGGACAAGGTAGGACATCCGGTGAACAGGTCAGGGTTCCCTAGCCGCAGGCAGAACAGTTGAAACTGGAGCAGCAGCACAACCAGGTGGACTGGGGACAGCCAGGAGTCATCAGGCTAGGTCGTCCTGACGCATGATCCTAGGGCTCAGGTCCTCCGGGAGGTCAGTACCTCAGGGAGAGAGAGGGAATTAGAGGGAGCATACTTAAATTCACACAGGACACCAGATAAGACATGAGAATTACACCAGATATAACAGACTGACCCTAGCCCCTCGGCACATGGACTATTGCAGCATAGATACTGGAGACTGAGACAGTGGTGAGTCAGGGGACACTGTGGCCCCGTCCGACGATACCCCTGGATAGGGCCAACCAGGCAGGATATTTCAGGAAGTTTCTGATTTTTGCAACGTTACGAAGATGGAAAAAAGTGTCCTTGAAATATTCTTGATATGTTCGTTAAAAGAGAGATCAGGGTCCAGAGTAACGCAGAGGTCCTTCACAGTTTTATTTGAGACGACTGTACAACCATTGTGACAGGTACTGAGGATATGAAGAGGCTGGACGCAGAGGCAGGAATCAACAAGGTAAAGGTTTACTTAACAAAAGAGAATAACAAAGCGCGAGTACACGACATGACGCTAACAATTACACACAACAATGACTGAACAGTCCAGGGCTATATAGTGGTGTTGATGAGATGATGAGGTGCAGGTGCGCTGGAGGTGATTAGGGTGCGTTGGGTTTCCATTCCTGTGTTGCCGAGGTGGTCAGAACGCCAGAGGGGAGCAACGGGAGGAAATGTGACAACCATCAAGATTAATTGTCAGATCCAACAGCAGATCTATTTATTTCTTGGGACCTATAACTAGCATCTCTATTTTGTCAGAGTTTTTAAAAAAGAGCACACTTCTCCAGCGTGCCAGTGGCCATCGAAAGTGAGCATTTGCCCACTGAAGTCGGTTACGATGCCGAACTGCCGTCAGGTCAAGATGCTGGTGAGGACAACGAACAAGAAGATTAGCTTCCCTGAGACGGTTTCTGACAGTTTGTGCAGAAATCCTTTTGTTGTGCAAACCCACAGTTTCATCAGCTGTCCGGGTGGCAGGTCTCAGACGATCCCAGAGTTGAAGAAGCCAGATGTGGAGGTCCTGGGCTGGCGTGGTTACATGTGGTCTGCGGTTGTGAGGCCAGTTGGATGTACTGCCAAATTCTCTAAAACGACGTTGGAGGCGATTTATGGTAGAGCAATTAACATAGAATTATCTGGCAACTGCTCTGGTGGACATTCCTGCAGTCAGCATGCCAATTGCACGCTCCCTCAAAACTTGAGACATCTGTGGCATTGTGTTGTGTGACAAAACTGCACATTTTAGAGTGGCCTTTTATTTTCCCCAGCACAAGGTATCTTGGCAAAGGAGAAATGCTCACAAACAGGGATGTAAACGAATTTGTGCCAAAAAATTGAGAGAAATAAGCTTTTTGTGCGTGTGGTAAATTTCTGTGATCCATTATTTCAGCTCATGAAACATGGGACCAACACTTTACATGTTGCGTTTATATTTTTGTTCTGATATTTGTGGAATGCATATTTTCAATCCCCATTACAAATGTGATGGAGGATCTCCTAATCCATTAGCCAGATGCAGGGTAAGAATCAGTGACTGCCCAAGAAAAGGCATGCTTCATTAGTTCCGGCCGACACTTTGTGACGTGATTTATGGGTGAAATTGAGGTCTTTTATCTGTTTATTTATTTTAGTTTCACTCATCAATTTAAACAAGCACATTGTGATTTATATTGACAAGAGTGAATTTGATTCATTGTAAGGTTCCTGAATAACTAGACGTTGGCATGCATGTCTGACCTATTTAGGATTCCTCTCGCCCAACCAAATCTCATTACTTGTATTTGGTTCATTGTCTAACATACGGGATCACAAAGCGTGCTATATGGTTATCTAGAGGGAAATTGTCAGTCAACTGAAACGATGCAGAACCAGTTTACGACTACCACATCACCACATAATTACACTGTGTCCTCCTGCTACAGTGCTGTACAGTACATCACCAAGGTTGCATAGTTTAATCTTAAATGGATGACACTCAATCTTAAAGCTGCAATATGTAACTTTTTGGGAGACCCAACCAAATTCACATAGAAATATGAAGTATAGATCTGTCATTATTATTAAAAGCAAGTCTAAGAAGCAGTAAATATGTTTTATGTGCGCTATTTCTATGCTTCACGTTCTTAAGTTTTGTTTTTGAGTCTTTTACTTTCGGTTTTGTACACCAGCTTCAAACAGCTGAAAATACAATATCTTTGGTTATTGAACAGATATTTCACAGCGGTTTAGATGGTATAATGAGTCTCTACAAGCATTTCCCAAACTTGGTCCTGGGGACCCCAGGGGGTGCACGTTTAGTTTTTTTCCCTAGCACTACACAGCTGACTCAAATAATCAAAGCTTGATGATTTCTGCATATTGCACCTTTAAATCATATGCAAATCATTCAATGTCTTCATTCAATCTCTGCTCCATACACAATCCATAAAGGCCCCTCTGAAAGTGAACAATATGAAAGCTTCCCTGTCCCTTCTCCAGAAACTCTCATTGTTTCAGTAGGAACCTAATGGTTACCTGTACCAAGACAAGGGAATTAGTTATCTGAGTGTTCCTTATCTCGCTGCCACCACACTCCTACTGGTGCGCTCCCATTCTTCTCCAGTAATGACTATCTATCCAATATAGTCCCCTCTCTCTCCAAGGGGGAATACATCTGCCGTGGCCCTAGCTGTCGATGAAAGGACACGGAGGTCCCCACCCTCTCGCACCATGACCTTAATTGACAGGAAATTGTATTCGCCTCGCTCTCCCCTTCTTCCCTCCAAACAAAATAGGTGCCTCCTGGATTTACTTGACATGCCACTGGGATGACACTCCTTCTTATCTCTCCTTTTCTCTTTTCTTTCTCTTTCTCTCTTTCTCCCAGCGGCTCCTAAGGGCCCCAAGCTTTTGATGACCCCCACCAGGGCAAAGGTAGGGGACACGGTGCGCATCACCGTGCAAGGATTCCAGGTAGGCGCTGGGGTTCCTGGGGTAAGTGCATGGGGGTTTATGAAACCGGAGGGCCATGTTCAGTTTGGGATAGGATGGGACAGGGGAGATGTGCAGTTAAGCCTGTTGAGTTTTCTGATAAAGTGACCATTCTTACAGGGTGAGGGATATACCATACATCTTCTCGGTCTAAGGCTAGCATACTGTTGTTCTTTGGAAAAAATCATAAGTGCACTATTGAAAAAAGTGACGGGTTTGAATTTTTGGGAATCGTTTTATCTTTTCGCATTTATTTTTTCACTGTTGCGTACTGACTATGCCTCAAGGCATTAAACTATTTCAATGAAAAATGAATAACCCTTTCAAAATATGTTTGTTTATGGATAGCTCCAATTCTCTGATGTTATTTTCTTAAGTCTATCTCCTTAAGGCATCCATGTCAAGCTAGCAGAGGATTCCTCAGCAGAGCAGAGTGAGGGTAATACCTGCTAGAGCATTCCAGTCAGGAGATTGTCTTTGTGTAACTATCATCCTCTGACCCCAAAAATGAAAATGTTCCAGTAGTAACTGATGCCCATCTCAGTGACAGGAGTAGGGATGACACAGTGTTGGCGTTGCCTGCTAGAGCCAGCCAGGTGGAGAGGACAAGGCTAATTCTGAAAGGCCATGCTAATGGTCCAGCACACCAATAACCTTTTTTACTTTTCATTCACTGCTTCATGAGTTTCTGGGCATGATAGCACTGTGTGTTTTTATAAAGTGTTTGTTTTTCATTGCTTTATTCTGGTTTACTACTTTCAATCTAATAATGGCACTCTTCCGGTGCATTAGGTTTAGTGCAGTAGTTTAGAGCCTGGGCAGATGTATACAACTATATCCACACACTCATTTCATAGTATTTGAAGTTCTCCTTTGAATAGAGTTAAGAATGGTCACTATAAACAGGCTTGACTGGGACATACAGCCAATTGGGCCCTTCGGAAACAGGCATCCGTGCATGGAGATTCATCCCAAAGAAAATCTCCCTTATCCTTCACTGGACCAAGGCTCTAGGGTTTCACTAGTAGATAAGATTTAATGCTAAGACATATACAGTGGCTTGCGAAAGTATTCACACCCTTGGCATTTTTCCTATATTGTTGCCTTACAACCTGGAATTAAAATTGCTTTTTTGGGGGTTTGTATCATTTGATTTACACAACATGCCTACCACTTTGAAGATGCAAATATATATTAAATAAAAAACTGAAAACTTGAGCATGCATAACTATTCACCCCCCCCAGCAATCTTTAAGTCATACCACAGATTGTCAATTGGATTGAGGTCTGGGCTTTGACTAGGCCATTCCAAGACATTTAAATGTTTCTTAAACCACTCGAGTGTTGCTTTAGCAGTATGCTTAGGGTCATTGTCCTGCTGGAAGGTGAACCTTCGTCCCAGTCTCAAATCTCTGGAAGACTGAAACAGGTTTCCCTCAAGAATTTCCCTGTATTTAGCGCCATCCATCATTCCTTCAATTCTGACCAGTTATCCAGTCCAGCCACCACCATGCTTCACTGTGGGGATGGTGTTCTCGGGGTGATGAGAGGTGTTGGGTTTGTGCCAGACATAGCATTTTCCTTGATGGCCAAAAAGCTCAATTTTAGTCTCATCTGACCAGAGTACCTTCTTCCATATGTTTGGGGAGTTTCCCACATGACTTTTGGCGAACACCAAACGTGTTTGCTTATTTTTTTTCTTTAAGCAATGGCTTTTTTCTGGTCACTCTTCTGTAAAGCCCAGCTCTGTGGAGTGTACGGCTTAAAGTGGTCCTGTGGACAGATACTCCAATCTCTGCTGTGGAGCTTTGTAGCTCCTTCAGGGTTATCTTTGGTCTCTTTGTTGCCTTTCTGATTAATGCCTTCCTTGCCTGGTCCATGAGTTTTGGTGGACGGCCCTCTCTTGGCAGGGTTGTTGTGGTGCCATATTCTTTCAGTTTTTTTATAATGGATTTAATGGTGCTCTGTGGGATGTTCAAAGTTTCTGATATTTTTTTATAACCCAACCCTGATCTGTACTTCTCCACAACTTTGTCCCTGACCTGTTTGGAGAGCTCCTTGGTCTTCATGGTGCAGCTTGCTTGATGGTGCCCCTTACTTAGTGGTGTTGCAGACTCTGGGGCATTTCAGAACAGGTGTATATATACTGAGATCATGTGACAGATCATGTGGCACTTAGATTGCACACAGGTGGACTTTATTTAACTAATTATGTGACTTCTGAAGGTAATTGGTTGCACCAGATCTTATTTAGGGGCTTCATAGCAAAGGGGGTGTATTTTTCGTTATTAGTTTTTTTGAATTTTTTGAAACAAGTTGTTTTTTTCATTTCACTTCACCAATTTGGACTATTTTTTGTATGTCCTTTACATGAAATCCAAATAAAAATCCATTTAAATTACAGGTTGTAATGCAACACAATAGGAAAAATGCCAAGGGGGATGAATACTTTTGCAAGGCACTGTACCTCTTGCCTTCTCATAGTGTGATAAAAAAAAGATATCAGTATCCCCTACGGTTTTTAATATTAGAATAATAAATAATCACATAGTGTGGGTTTTTAGTTTTCTTTACACTTGACATGCTTAGTCCTCACTATGTGTTCATCCATTTGAAGATAAGAAAGGCACTGATGCTTTCATTGGTGCTGTCTTTTTAATTTAGGCTCTGTAAGGCCGTTGGGGATATGTGATAGGATCTTTCATGTTTTTTATCTTGATGTAACCTTATGCCATGACTGCCCTGATCAACAAACTTCTTTCACTTCTGTCATCATGTGAATTCAGGGGTCCCAGAACTCTTATTAGGGCACACCAGCTCCTCAAGGCATACATTCAGTTCATTAAAGCATTTCTATGGGTCACAAAAAGTGGCAAGAGTCAAGTTGTGGTATATTCTTTAAAGTCCCTGTGTAGTCAAAAACATCATTTTCCTGTGTTTATATACATTTCCAATTGTGAAAATGCCCTTTTAGTGTTTTGGCTTGCCTGGTGACATCACAAGGCGGTAAATTAGTTAATAGACAAATAAGAAGAGAGTTTCAAACCTCTGCCATTAACAGCTAGTTTTCAGTTTTCCCCTCCCCACTAAGATCACTTCCAAACAATCCCAGCTAAATTCTTGCTTGAAAAATTGCTTTCTTTTTGACCATTTTTATTAAAAACAATCACAGTAAGGTACTTAATTGTTACCCAGAAATTATTTCATATTGAGATAAAAATGGTTGCATTGTGCTTTTAAAAGGGTTGGGAGGTAACATTTCAAAATGCAAAAAAATTATCTAGTCAGATTATCACTAGTTTTTTCAATGAAATTTCATTCTGTTGCATCACTCTTTGCGTCAGGAATCGACATCTATCTTTCATCAATATTTTTCAATTATTTCAGCAACATATTTGGCCCTCAGCCCTGCAGTATAGACTAGATGAAACTGGGTTCCCTAGCTGGATTCACAGAAACAGAAGAAACGCCAGTCCTTCTTTGACCATGTGTGAAGTGATCATAATTCCTGATGATGTGTTGTTCCCTTTGAATAACATTTGAGCGCCACAACCCCTCATTCCAATTTTCTACTAAACGCCCTCTCCTCCCCCACTTACATGTTCTCTAGCTGTCTTGATTTTAATAACATGTCTGTATCCAGCAGATGGCAGAAAAGACATCCAGAGGAGTACAGCAGGAAGGCTTCTTCCCTCAGAGGGAGAATAGCCCTCTTATCTATGACTATGACAACCCTTTGATAAGAATGATATGACATTTTGAAAAGGGGAAAAACGTTTTACTGTGGTAAATTCTCTTGAGAGGCACGAGAATGTAAAAAAAAAAGTGTAAATATAAATCAAATCATATTTTATTTGTCACATGCTTCGTAGGTGTAGACTAACAGTGAAATGCTTACTTAGGGATAATTTTCCAACAATGCAGAGTAAAAGATAAAGATACAAAAATAAAGATACAAAAATATATATAAAAATGAGTACCAGTACTTAGCCGATGTGCAGGGGTATGAGGTAATTGAGGTAGATATGTACATACAGTGGGGAAAAAAAGTATTTAGTCAGCCACCAATTGTGCAATTTCTCCCACTTAAAAAGATGAGAGAGGCCTGTAATTTTCATCATAGGTACACGTCAACTATGACAGACAAAATGAGAAAAAAAAATCCAGAAAATCACATTGTAGGATTTTTTATTAATTTATTGGCATATGATGGTGGAAAATAAGTATTTGGTCAATAACACAAGTTTCTCAATACTTTGTTATATACCCTTTGTTGGCAATGACACAGGTCAAACGTTTTCTGTAAGTCTTCACAAGGTTTTCACACACTGTTGCTGGTATTTTGGCCCATTCCTCCATGCAGATCTCCTCTAGAGCAGTGATGTTTTGGGGCTGTCGCTGGGCAACACAGACTTTCAACTCCCTCCAAAGATTTTCTATGGGGTTGAGATCTGGAGACTGGCTAGGCCACTCCAGGACCTTGAAATGCTTCTTACGAAGCCACTCCTTCGTTGCCCGGGCGGTGTGTTTGGGATCATTGTTATGCTGAAAGACCCAGCCACGTTTCATCTTCAATGCCCTTGCTGATGGAAGGAGGGTTTCACTCAAAATCTCACGATACATGGCCCCATTCATTCTTTCCTTTACACGGATCAGTCGTCCTGGTCCCTTTGCAGAAAAACAGCCCCAAAGCATGATGTTTCCAACCCCATGCTTCACAGTAGGTATGGTGTTCTTTGGATGCAACTCAGCATTCTTTGTCCTCCAAACATGACGAGTTGAGTTTTTACCAAAAAGTTATATTTTGGTTTCATCTGACCATATGACATTCTCCCAATCCTCTTCTGGATCATCCAAATGCACTTCAGACGGGCCTGGACATGTACTGGCTTAAGCAGGGGGACACGTCTCGCACTGCAGGATTTGAGTCCCTGGCGGCGTAGTGTGTTACTGATGGTTGGCTTTGTTACTTTGGTCCCAGCTCTCTGCAGGTCATTCACTAGGTCCCCCCGTGTGGTTCTGGGATTTTTGCTCACCGTTCTTGTGATCATTTTGACCCCACGGGGTGAGATCTTGCGTGGAGCCCCAGATCGAGGGAGATTATCAGTGGTCTTGTATGTCTTCCATTTCCTAATAATTGCTCCCACAGTTGATTTCTTCAAACCAAGCTGCTTACCTATTGCAGATTCAGTCTTCCCAGCCTGGTGCAGGTCTACAATTTTGTTTTTGGTGTCCTTTGACAGCTCTTTGGTCTTGGCCATTGTGAAGTTTGGAGTGTGACTGTTTGAGGTTGTGGACAGGTGTATTTTATACTGATAACAAGTTCAAACAGGTGCCATTAATACAGGTAACGAGTGGAGGACAGAGGAGCCTCTGAAAGAAGAAGTTACAGGTCTGTGAGAGCCAGAAATCTTGCTTGTTTGTAGGTGACCAAATACTTATTTTCCACCATAATTTGCAAATAAATTCATTAAAAATCCTACAATGGGATTTTCTGGATTTTTTTTCCTCAATTTGTCTGTCATAGTTGACGTGTACCTATGATGAAAATTACAGGCCTCTCTCATCTTTTTAAGTGGGAGAACTTGCACAATTGGTGGCTGACTAAATACTTTTTTTCCCCACTGTATAGTAGTGGTAAGTGACTAGGCAACAGGATAGATAATAGACAGCAGCAGCAGCGTATGTGGTGATTTCAAAAGTGTGTTTGTGTGAGTGTGAGTGTGTGTGTGTGTGTGTGTGTGTGTGTGTGTGTGTGTGTGTGTGTGTGTGTGTGTGTGTGTGTGTGTGGCGTCAGTATGTAGTGTTGATTATTAATTCATGCTGCTAACATGCCATTGCATTAGGGGGGAATTGAGCTTGTATTATTCATGTAGCCTTTGTAATCTCTTGACTGGGACTTAAACTTTTTCCCCTCTTGTCCATCCCTCCCTCACACACACTGGGGTGGTCTGTTGATAGAATGAGGTGTTCCCTGAGCCCCTCTTCACCTGGACCCGGGTCGGGGGCCGTCTGCTGGACGGGAGTGCCGAGCGGGATGGGAAGGAGCTGATTCTGGAGCGAGTGCCAGCCGAACTCAACGGCTCCATGTACCGCTGCACGGCCCAGAATCCCCTGGGCTCCACGGACACGCACACTCGCCTCATCGTCTTTGGTATGTGTCCAAACTCATTACCATATTCTCTAATCCTAGAGGGCATTGCAGAGAATCACGAACTTAATACTTGTTCTTATTCATGGTATGTTTTATTCCCACTATTCAAAAGAATATCCTCATTCAAATTTCAAACACCATTAAAATAGTGTTTCAACTGTTAATATTATGCATCCACATACTGTAAAGTATTTAGCAATGCATTTATGTAATAAATAAATATGTATGTGGCCATTTTTAGATATGATTAATCTATGCAAACTAATTGCATGAGTAATAAGTGATTGTATCACTAAATGACTCAAAAATGCCTCTCGTACAAAGGCTGATTTATGTAAGTGAGTAATGCCCCTCATCTGGGTGAGTAGAAATCCAACAGCCATGGGAATCCCACAAGCAGCATGTGTTGTACCCATTCTCTCCAACACTGACTGCTAATAATCACAAAGGCCCATAATAGAATAAATTATCTTTGTTGTTGACAGTGTCATCCCATCTCATAGTTCAACCACCCACCTCGAGCAAGCTAGATCAGTCTTTTCATGATGTGCTGCTATTTATCACAGTTCCAAAGTCCTGCGTTTGCTTTAGTTGATGTGGGAGTTGGATTGCTTGCTAACTCTATTACTCCTGTATGTCCTGCAGCCCTGGTGGGTTAACCCTTGGGCCCTGTGGAATAACAGCATCCTACGTGAGAACTTGATCAGAGGCCTGTCAATCATGGCTTCTCTGTTTTAATCAAAACCGCTGCACCGAGGATGAAGGTCTTCTCCCCTGAATTATATATGATCTACTCTCATGTTAGAGATAACTGCCGTGCAAGAGATGGAACTGATATATATATATATATATATATATATATATATATATATATATATATATATATATATATATATATATATATATATATATATATATTTATATATATATATATATAATTTATATATATATATATATATATACACACAGTATATATATATATACTGTACAGTGGGGGAAAAAAGTATTTAGTCAGCCACCAATTGTGCAAGTTCTCCCACTTAAAAAGATGAGAGAGGCCTGTAATTTTCATCATAGGTACACGTCAACTATGACAGACAAAATGAGATTTTTTTTTTCTCCAGAAAATCACATTTTAGGATTTTTAATGAATTTATTTGCAAATTATGGTGGAAAATAAGTATTTGGTCAATAACAAAAGTTTCTCAATACTTTGTTATATACCCTTTGTTGGCAATGACACAGGTCAAACGTTTTCTGTAAGTCTTCACAAGGTTTTCACACACTGTTGCTGGTATTTTGGCCCATTCCTCCATGCAGATCTCCTCTAGAGCAGTGATGTTTTGGGGCTGTCGCTGGGCAACACGGACTTTCAACTCCCTCCAAAGATTTTCTATTGGGTTGAGATCTGGAGACTGGCTAGGCCACTCCAGGACCTTGAAATGCTTCTTACGAAGCCACTCCTTCATTGCCCGGGCGGTGTGTTTGGGATCATTGTCATGCTGAAAGACCCAGCCACGTTTCATCTTCAATGCCCTTGCTGATGGATGGAGGTTTTCACTCAAAATCTCACGATACATGGCCCCATTCATTCTTTCCTTTACACGGATCAGTCGTCCTGGTCCCTTTGCAGAAAAACAGCCCCAAAGCAAGATGTTTCCACCCCCATGCTTCACAGTAGGTATGGTGTTCTTTGGATGCAACTCAGCATTCTTTGTCCTCCAAACACGACGAGTTGAGTTTTTACCAAAAAGTTCTATTTTGGTTTCATCTGACCAAATGACATTCTCCCAATCCTCTTCTGGATCATCCAAATGCACTCTAGCAAACTTCAGACGGGCCTGGACATGTACTGGCTTAAGCAGGGGGACACGTCTGGCACTGCAGGATTTGAGTCCCTGGCGGCGTAGTGTGTTACTGATGGTAGGCTTTGTTACTTTGGTCCCAGCTCTCTGCAGGTCATTCACTAGGTCCCCCCGTGTGTTTCTGGGATTTTTGCTCACCGTTCTTGTGATCATTTTGACCCCACGGAGTGAGATCTTGTGTGGAGTCCCAGATCGAGGGAGATTATCAGTGGTCTTGTATGTCTTCCATTTCCTAATAATTGCTCACACAGTTGATTTCTTCAAACCAAGCTGCTTACCTATTGCAGATTCAGTCTTCCCAGCCTGGTGCAGGTCTACAATTTTGTTTCTGGTGTCCTTTGACAGCTCTTTGGTCTTGGCCATAGTGGAGTTTGGAGTGTGACTGTTTGATGTTGTGGACAGGTGTCTTTTATACTGATAACAAGTTCAAACAAGTGCCATTAATACAGGTAACGAGTGGAGGACAGAGGAGGCTCTTAAAGAAGAAGTTACAGGTCTGTGAGAGCCAGAAATCTTGCTTGTTTGTAGGTGACCAAATACTTATTTTCCACCATAATTTGCAAATAAATTCATAAAAAATCCTACAATGTGATTTTCTGGAAAAAAAATTCTCAATTTGTTTGTCATAGTTGACGTGTACCTATGATGAAAATTACAGGCCTCTCTCATCTTTTTAAGTGGGAGAACTTGCACAATTGGTGGCTGACAAAAAATTTTTTTCCCCCACTGTATATACAGTTGAAGTCGGAAGTTTACATACACCTTAGCCAAATACATTTAAACTCAGTTTTTCACAATTCCTGACATTTAATCCTAGTAAAAATTCCCTGTTTTAGGTCAGTTAGGATCACCACTTTATTTTAAGAATGTTAAATGTCAGAATATTAGTAGAGAGAATGATTTATTTCAGCTTTTATTTCTTTCATCACATTCCTAGTGGGTCAGAAGTTTACATACACTCAATTAGTATTTGGTAGTATTGCCTTTAAATTGTTTAACTTGGGTCAAATGTTTCGGTTAGTCTTCCACAAGCTTCCCACAATAAGTTGGGTGAATTTTGGCCCATTCCTCCTGATAGAGCTGGTGTAACTGAGTCAGGTTTGTAGTCAGGTTTGCCACCCCCGTGCTTCACGGTTGGGATGGTGTTCTTTGGCTTGCAAGCACTCCCTTTTTCCTCCAAACATAACGGTGCTCATTATGGCCAAACAGTTCTATTTTTGTTTCATCAGACCAGAGGACATTTCTCCAAAAAGTACGATCTTCGTCCCCATGTGCAGTTGCAAACCGTAGTTTGGCTTTTTTATGGCGGTTTTGGAGCTGTGGCTTGTTCCTTTCAGGTTATGTCGATATAGGACTCGTTTTTACTGTGGATATAGATACTTTTGTACGTCTTTCCTCCAGCATCTTCACAAGGTCCTTTGCTGTTGTTCTGGGATTGATTTGCACTTTTCGCACCAAAGTACGTTCATCTCTAGGAGACAGAACGCGTCACCTTCCTGAGCGGTATGACAGCTGCGTGGTCCCATGGTGTTTATACTTGCGTACTATTGTTTGTACAGATGAACGTGGTACCTTCAGGCATTTGGAAATTGCTCCCAAATATGAACCAGGCTTGTGGAGGTCTACAATTTATTTTCGGAGGTCTTGGTTGATTTCTTTTGATTTTCCCATGATGTAAAGCAAAGAGGCACTGAGTTTGAAGGTAGGCCTTGAAATACATCCACAGGTACACCTCCAATTGACTCAAATGATGTCAACTAGCCTATCAGAAGCTTCTAAAGCCATTACATCATTTTCTGGAATTTTCCAAGCTGTTTAAAGGCACAGTCAACTTAGTGTATGTAAACTTCTGACCCACTGGAATTGTGATACAGTGAATTATAAGTGAAATAATCTGTCTGTAAACAATTGTTAGAATAATTACTTGTGTCATGCACAAAGTAGATGTCCTAACCGACTTGCCAAAACTATAGTTTGTTAACAAGACATTTGTGGAGTGGTTGAAAAACGAGTTTTAATGACTCCAACCTAAGTGTATGTAAACTTCCTACTTCAACTGTATGTATATATTGGAGCCTAACTGCGTTGCTATGTTCCAGGGCTAGTTTCCAGGGTTAACATATGCACAGAACATGTGTGTAGCTACTGCAAGACCATCAGAGGGTAAATCACCTCAGGTCCATTCAGCAGATAAGGCCATTCCCCACAGTAATCTGCCTGCACTGCCATTAAGAAAGGCTCTGTCCATCATTTGATAAATCCCCACCTTGACATCCTCCAGTGAGCAAGGTTTTTTTTTTTATTCAGGGAAACTGCCACTTTGGGAAGGTGTTACCTTGGGGAGCGTTTTGGTAGAAAGAGCACTAATGCCTATTTAACACCCTGATGCACCCTCAGGTGTCATAGGCTACATGCAGAATGTTGTCTGTCTGTCTATGTCTCTGTCCTAGATGGCTTCCACTCATGCTTAGAGGAGCAGAATGGTGATTGAGTGACCTTGACACCGTCCCCAGAGACCTTGAAATGGGACACTTCCCACTGGGCACAGATGTCAATTCAACATCAATTCCATGTTGGTTTGACGTAATTTCATTTAAAAGGACGTGGAAACAACATTGATTCAACCAGTGTGTGCCAAGTGGGTTCTCTCTCCAGGGGCAGAGTGGATATTTAGAGCTCTGCTCACTTGGCAAACTGTTCATTATACATCATCCGGTATAACAGAGTATAAGTATGGCATGCTATTGAGACTCTCCACTGGCAGAAAACAGTGCTCATATCTTGATCATGAACATGTCCAAGCCCCTTTAGATATAATACCCTGGGTGATTACACTGAAGTGACTTATCAAATCAAATTTTATTTGTCACATGCTTCGTAAAAAACAGGTGTAGACTAACAGTGAAATGCTTACTTATAGGCCTTTCCCAACAATGCAGAGAGAAAGAAAATGGATAAAAAAATACAAAAAGTAATAAAATGTAGTGTGGTATCGCGTCCAATGCTGGTGGGTATTGCTGTCGATCAAAGAATCCACTTAAGCTGTATCGTGTTTTAGAGGCTTTTATTAATACCACGAGGTTACAGCATAAGTTAACAGACCCGCGGAGATCCGGAGAAGCAGTCCCAAATGAATCTTAATGCTTTCTGCCCCTCCGTCGTTGTTCCCCCCTTATATATAACCTCCCAAGATGTGGGTGGCTCCCTCTACTGTCCAATCCCCGTGTCTACAACACACTTCCTGTCTGTTGTATGTGGCGCTACACTAAAACCTTCCCTCTTGATACCAAAATCAACATTCTTTCAGTTCCACTTAAAAAAACATTTAAGACCATCATAATGTCAATACACTACAGTAGTAATAAAAGTAATAATAAAAACACAATGAGTAACGATAACTTGGCTATATACAGTGGGGAAAAAAAGTATTTAGTCAGCCACCAATTGTGCAAGTTCTCCCACTTAAAAAGATGAGAGAGACCTGTAATTTTCATCATAGGTACACGTCAACTATGACAGACAAAATGTGGAAAATAAATCCAGAAAATCACATTGTAGGATTTTTAATGAATTTATTTGCAAATTATGGTGGAAAATAAGTATTTGGTCAATAACAAAAGTTTCTCAATACTTTGTTATATACCCTTTGTTGGCAATGACACAGGTCAAACGTTTTCTGTAAGTCTTCACAAGGTTTTCACACACTGTTGCTGGTATTTTGGCCCATTCCTCCATGCAGATCTCCTCTAGAGCAGTGATGTTTTGGGGCTGTCGCTGGGCAACACGGACTTTCAATTCCCTCCAAAGATTTTCTATGGGGTTGAGATCTGGAGACTGGCTAGGCCACTCCAGGACCTTGAAATGCTTCTTACGAAGCCACTCCTTCGTTGCCCGGGCGGTGTGTTTGGGATCATTGTCATGCTGAAAGACCCAGCCATGTTTCATCTTCAATGCCCTTGCTGATGGAAGGAGGTTTTCACTCAAAATCTCACGATACATGGCCCCATTCATTCTTTCCTTTACACAGATCAGTCGTCCTGGTCCCTTTGCAGAAAAACAGCCCCAAAGCATGATGTTTCCACCCCCATGCTTCACAGTAGGTATGGTGTTCTTTGGATGCAACTCAGCATTCTTTGTCCTCCAAACACGACGAGTTGAGTTTTTACCAAAAAGTTCTATTTTGGTTTCATCTGACCATATGACATTCTTCCAATCCTCTTCTGGATCATCCAAATGCACTCTAGCAAACTTCAGATGGGCCTGGACATGTACTGGCTTAAGCAGGGGGACACGTCTGACACTGCAGGATTTGAGTCCCTGGCGGCGTAGTGTGTTACTGATGGTAGGCTTTGTTACTTTGGTCCCAGCTCTCTGCAGGTCATTCACTAGGTCCCCCCATGTGGTTCTGGGATTTTTGCTCACCGTTCTTGTGATCATTTTGACCCCACGGGGTGAGATCTTGCGTGGAGCCCCAGATCGAGGGAGATTATCAGTGGTCTTGTATGTCTTCCATTTCGTAATAATTGCTCCCACAGTTGATTTCTTCAAACCAAGCTGCTTACCTTTTGCAGATTCAGTCTTCCCAGCCTGGTGCAGGTCTACAATTTTGTTTCTGATGTCCTTTGACAGCTCTTTGGTCTTGGCCATAGTGGAGTTTGGAGTGTGACTGTTTGAGGTTGTGGACAGGTGTCTTTTATACTGATAACAAGTTCAAACAGGTGCCATTAATACAGGTAACGAGTGGAGGACAAAGGAGCCTCTTAAAGAAGAAGTTACAGGTCTGTGAGAGCCAGAAATCTTGCTTGTTTGTAGGTGACCAAATACTTATTTTCCACCATAATTTCAAATAAATTCATAAAAAATCCTACAATGTGATTTTCTGGATTTTTTTTCCTCAATTTGTCTGTCATAGTTGACGTGTACCTCTGATGAAAATTACAGGCCTCTCTCATCTTTTTAAGTGGGAGAACTTGCACAATTGGTGGCTGACTAAATACTTTTTTCCCCCACTGTACATGGGGTACCAGTATCGAGTTAATGTGCAGGGGTAAGAGGCAATTGATGTAGATATGTACATACAGTGTATTCAGAAAGTATTCATACCCCTTGACTTATTCCACATTTAGTGGTATTAGAGCCTGAATTCAAAATGGTTTAAATATATTTTTTTCTCACCCATCTACACACAATACCCCATAATAGCCTCGTTATTGTTATTTTGTTGTTGCTCTTTAATTTTTTTTACTTTCGTTTATTTAGTAAATATTTTTCTTAAAACTGCATTGTTGGTTAAGGGCTTGTAAGTAAGCATTTCACGGTAAGGTCTACACCTGTGGTATTAGGCGCGTGTGACAAATAACATTTCATTCGATTTTTGATTTGATAATGAGAAAGAGCAAACATGTTTTTAGAAATGTTAGCAAATTTATTGAAAATGAAATTCATAAATATCTAATTTACATAACTATTCACACCCCTGAGTCAATACTTTGTAAAATCACCTTTGGTAGCGATTACAGCTTTGAGTCTTTCTGGGTAAGTCTCTAAGAGCTGTCCACACCTGGATTGTACAACATTTGCACATTATTCTTAAAAAAAATCTTCAAGCTCTGTCAAATTAGTTGTTGTTCCTTGCTAGACAACCATTTTCAGGTCTTGCCATAGATCTTCAAGTTTACTTAAGTCAAAACAGTAATTCGGCCACTCAGGAACATTCACTGTCTTCTTGGTAAGAAACTCCAGCGTAGATTTGGCCTTGTGTTATTGCCCTGCTGAAAGGTGAATTAATCTGCCAGTGTCTGGTGGAAAGCAGACTGAACCAGGTTTTCCTCTAGGATTTTGCCAGTGCTTAGCTCCATTCTGTTTATTTTTTATCCTGATAAACTCCCCAGTCCTTAATGATTACAAGCATACCCATAACATGATGCAGCCACCACTAGGCTTGAAACGATGGAGAGTGGTACTCAGTAATGTGTTGTATTGGATTTGCCCCAAACATAACAGTTTTTATTCGGTACAAAAAGTTAATTGCTTTTTTACATTTACATTTACGTCATTTAGCTGACGCTCTTATCCAGAGCGACTTACATTATTATTTTCATACTGGCCCCCCGTGGGAAACGAACCCACAACCCTGGCGTTGCAAACACCATGCTCTATCAACTGAGCTACCTCCCTGCCTGCCATTCCCTCCCCTACCCTGGACGACGCTGGGCCAATTGTGCGCCGCCCCATTGGTCTCCCGGTTGCGGCCGGCTACAGCAGAGCCTGGATTCGAACCAGGATCTCTAGTGGCACAGCTAGCACTGCGATGCAGTGCCTTAGACCACTGCGCCACTCGGGAGACTATAATATATATAATAAAAGCATAATAAAAGCATTGCTTTGCCACATTGTTTGCAGTATTTCCTTAGTGCCTTGTTGCAAACAGGATGCATGTTTTGGAATAGTTTTATTCTGTACAAGGTTCCTTCTTTCACTCTGTCAATTAGGTTAGAATTGTGGAGTAACTACAATGTTGTTGATCCATCCTCAGGTTTCTCCTATCAGACTCATTCAACTCTGTATCTGTTTTAAAGTTACCATTGGCCTCATGGTGAAATCCCTGAGCGGTTTCCTTCCTCTCCGGTAACTGAATTAGGAAGGACACCTGTAACTTTGTACTGACTGGAGTATTGATACACTATCCAAAGTATAATTAATAACTTCAATGTGCTCAAAGGGATATTCAATGTCTGCTTTTTTTTTTTTTAAACCCATCTACCAATAGGTGCCCTTCTTTGCGAGGCATTGGAAAACCTCCCTGGACTTTGCGGTTTAATCTGTGTTTGAAAGTCATTGCTCGATGGAGGGACTTTACAGATAATTGTATGTGTGGGGTACAGAGATGAGGTAGTCATTCAAAAATCATGTTAAACACTAGTATTGCATACAGAGTAAGTCCATGCAACTTATTATGTCACTTGTTAAGCAAATGTTTTACTCCTGAACTTGTTTAGGTTTGCTATATCAACGGGGTTGACATTTCAGCTTTTCATTTGTAATTAATTTGTAAAAATTCTGAAAAACATATAATTCCACTTTGACTTTGACATTATGGGGTATTGTGTGTAGGCTAGTGACCAAAAATCTCAATTTAATACAATTTACATTCAAGCTGTAACACAACAAAATGTGGAAAAAGTGAAGGGGTGTGAATACTTTCTGAAAATGCACCTTTATAATAAAAGCATTGTGTTACTTTTGATAATGGTGTTTTCCCGCTAATGGAACATTCGTGCTTACAGCCTACTGCCATGTGTGCATTGCTGGGCTTATAATGTGAAGAAATAGCCTAATAGTTTATCAACATTTTAAGCTAAATGTTCTAATCTGTTGCGTCAGCTACATTGCATAAAAACGTTTTTTTGATGCTAGTGGTTGTATTAATTTGGGATCTATTGCATCCCACAACTGTCCCAGACTATGTTTGGAATATGTATTTCTCGCACAGAATAGAATAGGTCAACTTTTGTACTATGGGGGATAGTAGATTGACATAGGCTAGTGCTTTTGCTGTTCATTATGCCAACTCATATTGTTGGCTGACGAAAAGTAAATGTGGGCAGTTCTTCCAATATCTTCAATATGCACCTCGGAATTGGATAAGTAATTGGAAAATCCATGCCGCAAAAGGCATGGATTTTTTTGGGGGTGCATTACGGCCATAAAGGGGATGCCGCCGTGAAATTCGAGGCATTACCTAGTGCTTGTGAAATTGTGAATGAGAAACTAATGAAGAGTGTACAGCCTGCGTAAAAACAAAGCAGAGCTCATGCCTTTCAAGCAACTTTTTTCAAATCATCATTATATTCGCATTCATGCAGCCTTACAATGTATTAAAAATCTAAACAAATAGCCCAACATTTGTAGAACAACTAAAGTTACATGAATTACTCTAAATTAAGCATATAGGAGTACCTATTTCTTTGTTAACCGCTCAACGGTGGCACCGTCATAGGATGCCACCTTTCCAACAAGTCAGTTCGTCAAATGTCTTCCCTGCTAGAGTTGCCCCGGTCAACTGTAAGTGCTGTTATTGTGAAGTGGAAACATCTAGGAGCAACAACGGCTCAGCCGTGAAGTGGTAGGCCACACAAGCTCACAGAATGGGACCGCATAGTGCTGAAGCGTGTACCGCGTAAAAATCGTCTGTCCACGGTTGCAACACTAACTACCAGGTTCCAAACTGCCTCTGGAAGCAACGTCAGCACAATAACTGTTCGTTGGGAGCTTCATGAAATGGGTTTCCATGGCCGAGCTGCCACACACAAGCCTGATCACCATGCGCAATGCCAAGCGTCAGCTGGACTGGTGTAAAGCTCGCCGCCAGTTGGGAACAAGTTCTCATTTACAACTACGACCTGGCCAAGATAAAGCAAAGCAGTGCGATAAAAACAACAACAACACAGAGTTACACATGGGATAAAACAAAACATACAGTCAATAAGGGCGGCAGGTAGCTTAGTGGGTAAGAGCCTTGTGCCAGTAACCGAAAGGTCGCTGGTTCTAATCCCCGAGCCGACTAGGTGAAAAATCTGTCGATGTGCCCTTGAGCAAGGCATTTAATCCTAATTGCTCCTGTAAATCGCTCTGGATAAGAGTGTCTGCTAAATGACTAAAAAATTTAAATGTAATAACACAATAGAAAATCTATATACAGTTTGTGCAAATGTAGTAAGTTATGGAGGTAAGGCAATAAATAGGCCATAGTGCAAAATAATTATAATTTAGTATTAACACTGGAATGATAGATGTGCAGAAGATGATGTGCAAATAGCGATACTGGGGTGCAAATGAGCAAAATAAATAACAATATGGGGATGTGGTAGTTGGGTGGGCTAATTACAGATGGGCAGTGTACAGGTGCAGTGATCGGTAAGCTGCTCTGACAACTGATGCTTAAAGTTAGTGAGGAAGATAAGAGTCTCCAGCTTCAGAGATGTTTGCAGTTCGTTCCAGTCATTTGCAGCAGAGAACTGGAAGGAATGGCGGCCAAAGGAGGTGTTGGCTTTGGGGATGACCAGTGAGATATACCTGCTGGAGCACATACTACAGGTGGGTGTTGCTATGGTGACCAATGAGCTAAGATAAGGCGGGGATTTGCCTAGAAGTGATTTATAGATGACCTGGAGCCAGTGGGTTTGGCGACAAATATGTAGTGAGGGCCAGCCAACGAGAGCATACAGGTCACAATGGTGGGTAGTATATGGGGCTTTGGTGACAAAACGGATGGCACTGTGATAGACTACATCCAATTTGCTGAGTAGAGTGTTGGAGGCTATTTTGTAAATGACATCGCCGAAGTCAAGGATCGGTAGGATAGTCAGTTTTACGAGGGTCTTTTTGGCAGCATGAGTGAAGGAGGCTTTGTTGAGAAATAGGAAGCCGATTCTAGATTTAACTTTGGATTGGAGATGCTTAATGTGAGTCTGGAAGGAGAGTTTACGGTCTAACCAGACACCTAGGTATTTGTAGTTGTCCACATATTCTATGTCAGACCCGCCGAGAGTAGTGATTCTAGTCGGGCAGGCGGGTGCAAGCAGCGTTCGATTGAAGAGCATGCATTTATTTTTACTAGCGTTTAAGAGCAGTTGGAGGCTACGGAAGGAGTGTTGTATGGCATTGAAGCTTGTTTGGAGGTTTGTTAACACAGTGTCCAATGAAGGGCCAGATGTATACAAAATGGTGTTGTCTGTGTAGAGGTGGATCTGAGAGTCACCAGCAGCAAGAGCGACATCATTGATATACACAGAGAATAGAGTTGGCCCGAGAATTGAACCCTGTGGCACCCCCATAGAGACTGCCAGAGGTCCAGACAACAGGCCCTCCGATTTGACACATTGAACTCTATCTGAGAAGTAGTTGGTGAACCAGGCGAGGCAGTCATTTGCGAAACCAAGGCTATTTAGTATGCCAATAAGAATGCGGTGATTGACAGAGTCGAAAGCCTTGGCCAGGTCGATGAAGACAGCTGCACAGTACTGTCTTTTATCGATCACGGTTATTATATAGTTTAGGACCTTGAGCGTGGCTGAGGTACACGCATGACCAGCTCGGAAACCAGATTGCATAGCGGAGAAGGTACGGTGGGATTCGAAATGGACGGTGATCTGTTTGTTAACTTGGCTTTCAAATACTTTCAAAAGGCAGGGCAGGATGGATATATGTCTGTAACAGTTTGAATCTAGAGTGTCACCCCCTTTGAAGAGGGGGATGACCGTGGCAGCTTTCCAATCTCTGGGGATCTTAGATGATACGAAAGAGAGGTTGAACAGGCTAGTAATAGGGGTTGCTACAATTTCGGCAGCTAATTTTAGAAAAAAAGGGTCCAGATTGTCTAGCCCATCTGATTTGTAGGGGTCTAGGTTTTGCAAGCTGCAGCGGGGGGGGGGGGGGGGGGGGGGGGCAGGGCTGGTGGCCGGGGTAGGGGTAGCCAGGTGGAAAGCATGGCCAGCCATAGCAAAATGCTTATTGAAATTCTCGATTATCGTAGATTTATCGGTGGTGACAGTGTTTCCTAGCCTCAGTGCAGTGGGCAGCTGGGAGAAGGTGCTCTTATTCTCCATGGACTTTACAGTGTCCCAAAACTTTGTGGAGTTAGTGCTACAGGATGCACATTTCTGTTTGAAAAAGCTAGCCTTTGCTTTCCTAACTGATTGTGTATATTGGTTCCTGACTTCCCTGAAAAGTTGCATATCGCGGGGGCTGTTCGATGCTAATGCAGTACGCCACAGGATGTTTTTGTGCTGGTCAAGGGCAGTCAAGTCTGGGGTGAACCAGGGGCTATATCTGTTCGTAGTTCGGAATTTTTTGAATGGGGCATGCTTATTTAAGATGGAGAAGAAAGCACTTTTAAAGAACAACCAGGCATCCTCTACTGACGGAATGAGGTCAATATCCATCCAGGATACCCGGGCCAGGTCAATTAGAAAGGCCTGCTCGCTGAAGTGTTTTAGGGAGCGTTTGACAGTGATGAGGGATGGTCGTTTGACCGCGGACCCATTACGGATGCAGGCAATGAGGCAGTGATTGCTGAGATCCTGGTTGAAGACAGTTGAGGTGTATTTAGAGGGTCAATTAGTCAGGATGATATCTATGAGGGTGCCCATGTTTACGGATTTAGGGTTGTACCTGGTAGGTTCCTTGATAATTTGTGTGAGATTGAGGGCATCTAGTTTAAATTGTAGGATGGCCAGGGTGTTAAGCATATCCCAGTTTAGGTCACCAAGCAGTACGAACTCCGAGGATAGATGGGAGGCAATCAATTCACATATGGTGTCCAGGGCACAGCTGGGGGCTGAGGGGGGTCTGTAGCAAGTGGCAACAGTGATAGACTTATTTCTGGAGAGGTGGATTTTTAGAAGTAGAAGCTCAAACTGTTTGGGCACAGACCTGGATAGTATGATAGAGCTCTGCAGGCTATCTCTACAGTAGATTGCAACACCGCTCCCTTTGGCAGTTCTATCTAGACCGAAAATGTTGTAGTTGGGGATGGAAATTTCAGAGTTTTTGGTGGTCTTCCTAAGCCAGGATTCACACACTGCTATAACATCAGGGTTGGCGGAGTGTGCTAACGCAGTGAGTAACTCAAACTTAGGGAGGAGGCTTCTGATGTTAACATGCAAAAAAACAAGGCTTTTACGGTTACAGAAGTCAACAAATGATAGCGCCTGGGGAGTAGGAGTGATACTGGGGGCTACAGGGCCTGGGTTAACCTCTACATCACCAGAGGAACAGAGGAGGAGTAGAATAAGGATACGGCTAAAGGCTTTAAGAACTGGCGTTCTGGTGCGTTGGGTAGAGAGAATAAAAGTGGCAGATTTCCGGGCGTTGTAGAATAGATTCAGGGCATTATGTACAGACAAGGATATGGAAGTATATGAGTACAGTGGAGGTCAACCTAAGTGTTGGGTAACGATGAAAGAGATAACATCACTGGAGGCACCGATTGAGCCGGTCTCCGCATCTATGGGGGTGGGACAAAGGAGCTCTCTGAGGCTGCTTGAGCGGTACTGGGGGCTCTACACTGAAATTGTATAATAAGAACTAACCGAAACACTAATATGCAAGGCATATTGACATGGGAGAGAGGCATAAAGGAATCACAGGTGTTATTCGAGAGAGCTAAGACAACAACAGGTAATGGCGACGAAAGTTTGGGCTGAGGCTAAACAGATAAACAGGATGGGGGTACCGTGTAAAGGAATAGTCCAGCAGGCATCAGCTGTGCAGCTGAGTGATCATAAGGTCCAGTGAACAGCAATAGGTGAGACCGGGAGCAGTTTGAATGGCTGCTACAGCACAGGTGAGCAGGAAGCATGGCTGTTGATTGCGTGAGCTAGCGGGCCGGGGCTAGCAGATGGATCTTCGTGGTCGTCACAACGGGAAGCCTGTTGAAACCACATCAGACGATTACGTCGACAGACCAGTCGTGATGGATCGGTGGGGCTCCGTGTCGACACTAGGAGGTCCCGTCCGGTTGACAGAAAGGTAGAAAGCCGGGAGATGGGCCTGGCTCGAGGCTAGCTCAAGGCTAACTGGTGCTTGCTTCGGGGGCAGTGGTGATTAGCCAACAACATCCATTCGGTTGCAGCTAGCTAGTTGCGATGATCCGGTGTTAAGGTCCAGTGATTCCGGCAGAAAATCTGTTATGTTCTTGGTCGATAGCGCGCTGTGCAGACAGTGCAGACTGGCCAATAATAGTCCAGGCTAGAGCTGACTGGTTGGTAGTGCAAGCCACGCACAATGGTGAAAACCGCTAACGGGCAAGTAGCTAGTTAGCTAGTGAGCTGGCTAGCTGGCTAGTTTCAACTGGAAGTTCTGGATAAAAAGGTAAAATAAATAATAGAATCCGTTCCACATTGGGTGAGGCGGGTTGCAGGAAAGTATATTTAGTTGAAGGATGAAAAGTGTGATTGAGAAATATATACGAAAGAGACAAAAAAACAGGCTATTTACACGGACACACTACAGAGTACACGACCGCACTTCTACGCTATCTTGGAACTCTACGCTATCTTGAAACGAATTCTCTGGAGTGATGAATCACACTTCACCATCTGGCAGTCCGACAGACAAATCTGGGTTTGGCGGATTCCAGGAGAATGGTACCGGGAGAATGCATAGTGCCAACTGTCAAGTTTGGTGGAGGAGGAATAATGGTCTGGGGCTGTTTTTCATGGTTCGGGCTAGGCCCCTTAGTTCCAGTGAAGGGGAATCTTAATGATACAGCATACAATGACATTCTAGACGATTCTGTGCTTCCAACTTTGTGGCAACAGTTTGGGAAAGGCCCTTTCCTGTTTCCGCATGACAATGCCCCCTCGCACAAAGCGAGGTCCATACAGAAATGGTTTGTCGAAATCGGTGTGGAAGAACTTGACTGGCCTGCACAGAGCACTGACATCAACCCCATCGAACACCTTTGGGATGAATTGAAACACTGACTGCTAGCCAAGCCTAATCGCCCAACATCCGTGCCCGACTTCAGTAACGCTCTTGTGGCTGAATGTAAGCAAGTCCCCGCAGCAATGATTCAACATCTAGTGGAAAACCATCCCAGAAGAGTGGAGGCTGTTATAGCAGTCTGTGTCTCTCTTTCTCTCTCTCTCTAAATTCAATTCAAAGGGCTTTACTGGCATGGGAAACATATGTTTACATTGCCAAAGCAAGTGAAATAGATAATAAACAAAAGTGAAATAAACAATCAAAATTAACAATAAACTCAGAGAGAGAGGAATATTATCATATTATGGCTATGTACAGTGTTATATCTCTGTCTCTGTCTCTGTCTCTGTCTCTGTCTCTGTTTTCCCTTCATCTCTTTCAACAGAAAATCCAGCCATGATGAAAAACACTCACATTCCGAACAGTAAGTATGGCACCCATGAAGACCACTCACAGAGAAAGTTTCAATTGTAGTCATTTAAAGAGCATTTTGTCCTTTTTGTTTATTTGTGTGTTGTTTTTCTCACACATTGAAGATGTAGTTGAAGACATTTGAGATGACAAGCATGCAATCTGTATCCAAAATGGGACAGTAACAAATTACTAGCTACTTATTGGTTAGGGTTTGGTGGATAGACAAACTGACGACAGGTGAATACATGTATGTCATTCTATCGTCAACACAATTCCTCCAAAAAGATACAGTTGAACCAGAAATCTCTCCCCCCTATGTTCAGATACAATCCTCCTTCAGTCACTACCCACTTTTATAACTTTGTAAGAACTGTGAGATTAGGGTTGTTTCATACACACTGTGGGGCCTCATTTGCAGCGCCTCCGATTATCATATGTAAAGATGAGGGATTGTCAGAAAAAGCACAGAGGGATATGAGGGTTCTCTTTCTCAGTCTCTCTCTCTCTGCTGCTTTACTTGCGATATCTTACGAATGTAAATGTGAATATGCAAATGATCCGGTAGGAGCAGGTTTGCCATAGCAAGGACAGAATCAGGTCAGTGTGGAAGGCACCGATCGCGGTGCGAGGCGCAGACATGCCTCGCATGTAAGTCAAATCAGTGTTGAACATGGCCCTGAGTGGTCTCCGCACACGTGTCTGATCGCTCAGTGGTTGATCTGCCAACTCCTCCCTCTGTGTGTGTGGGAAGTCCACCCTATCCGTCATTCAGCACAGAGGCCACAGCAGAGAACAGCAACAAACCACATAGCTTTTAAGGGCCACCATCCATCTCTGTCAGAGTTTCAATGATCTCGCTGTCCTAACAAATGTTTTAGAATATTGATGATAATGGAAATTAACTGAGGTATAGAGACGCATGGGAAGTGGGTCAGTGGCCCGTAGTAGTTGTTTATTGCAATCCTACTTAAACAAGTGGAGAGCGTAAGGCTATTACAATTGTAGTTCTAGAAGCAATATGATGTTTAGCATCATTAACATCAGTGGAGAATGTGGTTAAGTTGACATAAAAGCAAAGAGCCAGGATTTCCAATTGCCCTTGATTTGAAAGCCTTTACCCGGGCATAACATCTGACCAAATATGCTCTGTCAGTACATGATTTGGTTGCATTAATTTGAATTATGTACAGAGGAAATAACGACCTGATCAAGAACCACCTGATCAATCAGTGTTTTTATTGAGATTAAAGTCTGTTTTGCCTTATTATTTGTATTTATTTTATTTTTGTATGTGTCTAGTGACTGTTATTAATTATTAATAGTGATTGTATCTGACTCTTATCTCTTTTTCTGGCCCTTGCAGATGGAGCCCCTCGCGTGGATGTACTCGGACTAATATGGATGGTGCTGGCCCTGGTCCTCACAGTGACTGTGGAACTGACGTGAACCCTCCCAGCCAACACACACACTGTACACACACACTGTACACACACAGAATACACACACAACACACAGTAGACCCACAGAGACACACACACACAAACATATTTCAAGCCCCTCCAACACACATACACATACCACTTACACATACCGCAAGCCCAAAACATCACAACACCACAAACAGACACACATACAACCACACCTCACACAGTCCTGCAAGCCTTTTCCAGTCATCCAACCGGCCCTCCATGCGTCAGTCTTTCAGGAACCAGTGCCACCACCTGATGGCCCTCCACTCTGTTTTTGAAAGGAAATAATAACCAAGATTATAATATAAAGAAAACTGAACATGAAAATAACCACCTCCAGTATACCCCTTCCCGCGACCACACCTTATTTTTGTTTCTTGTCACACCTCTGCCTGTTGACCAATAAAAATCAGTTGTAAAAAAAGGAAAATAAAAAGCATTTGGGTTTGTTTTTGATATGTTCAAACATTGCAGGTGTGAAGACAGACACTGAACCGACCAGTGTGGGAGGGCCCACACATTGACCCCACCCAATTGTCCAATTCACTGGGCTGTGCTGTACCTGGTCTTTAAACTACACATAAACAACTGGGAACAAATGTGAATGCTCAATGAGAACATTATTTTTTATTACTATACAGGTATTTCTTTTCTGGATAGCTTGGAATGTACAAGAGGACTAAACGCAAAGAGAACATGGCAAATCTCATTTTTGAGTGTATTTTGTGTACATCTGTGTAAATATTGAAGATAATCAAAGAGGTTTTATGGGTTCAGGTTAGGATTGGTTGGTGAAGAGTTGGGAGGGTTTGTTTGTATTTTCTCATCCTTTCTCACTGTTTCAAGAGATAATCCTATAGGCTGTCAGGACAGAATTGTTTACAGCCTTCTGGTTCCATTCATTCAGTCTCTACATCTGTGTGACAAGTTGAAAATGAGGACAGAAAAAACAATGCAAATATCCTACATTATGTCTGCCGTTTTGGGGTTGTAGTGCATGTGACGTTTGACAATTCTTTCTCCTTTTCGTGTTTTGCAGTGGTCAACACTGCATCTCATTGTCACTGGCCTGTAAATCCAGCTATTTACTTGTTACATATTTAAATGACATTGCATTGTGTACAATATGTAACTCTTCCCCCTGACATCTACTAGTAGGATCATGTTAGCCACCATTTCAGGAAGATGCTAATAAACAGGGTTGTTGCATTTGTTTCATATCACCTGTATTAAAATGGAGAGATTATCAAATAATCTGGCTTGATTTTACTTCTACAACCTAAGGGTGTTTTAAATGACATACAGTAAACTACCTTATTCTCTTAACCATAGAAAATAGCTAGGCCTACTTAATAATGCATTTGATCACATCTTGGATAACAGGATAATATACATTACCTTTAGAATAATCCCATTCCAACATATGAGGAAGAATGAAGAATCTAAACAAATGTTCTCTCAACACATCAACTATGAGTTTCTATACTTTGGGGCCATAACAAAGTGTATATGTAGGTATTTGGCAGGAATATTTGATGATCACCCCCCCCCTTCTTTGCTTTACAGAAGATCTAGACTAAAACTGCAAAATATTTGGCTTCCCTTCACAACAACTTTTCAACTATGTCTTGGCCTCCTCTGAATCAGTCCAGTTTCTGGAAATAATTAGGATGGAATATACAGTATTCTGACATTGCCATTAACCCCTTTCTGTATGTATACAGTGGGGTCCGAAATTATTGACACCCTGATAAAGATGAGCCAGAAATTGAGCCAGTGGACACCCCTTCAAATTAGTGGATTCGGCTATTCAGCCACACCCGTTGCTGACAGGTGTATTAAATTGAGCACACAGCCATGCAATCTCCATAGACAAACATTGGCAGTAGAATGGCTGTACTGAAGAGCTCCGTGACTTTCAATTGTCTGTCCTCGGTTGCAACACTCACAACTGAATTCCGAACTGCCTCTGGAAGCAACGTCAGCACAAGAACTGTTCGTCGGGAGCTTCATGAAAAGGGTTTCCATGGCCGAGCAGCCGCACACAAGCCTAAGATCACCATGTGCAATGCCAAGCGTCGGCTGGAGTGGTGTAAAGCTCGCCACCATTGGACTCTGGAGCAGTGGAAATGTGTTCTCTGGAGTTATGAATCACGCTTCACCATCTGGCAGGTAGGTCCATGCAGAAATGGTTTGTCAAGATCAGTGTGGAAGAACTTGACTGGCCTGCACAGAGCCCCGACCTTAACATATACACATCAATTGCTTTGTTTATTTATACTTCAGTGCTAAACTTGTAATCAGTACGACCTTAAGGTTATTTTGCCCTCAGCTAGTCATGTAGCCACAGAGTTCACTACCCCTTATTCTCCCTTTCATGATCTTAATCTATTACACAGTCCACCCATCCTCCAAGAATAGTAGTACGGTTCACCTCAAATAGTTACGGCTGTTTAAACTGTTAACATTTCCCATTTCCTGTCCATATCATATCACAGGAGGGGAAGAGGTGAAAGTGTCTCCGCACAACACTGCACATGCTGGCAATCATTTTGTTCTGCAGTGCTCCTGAATGGTACACCTGAGACAGCGGAGGCACAGAAGAGAAGGAGCTGCCTTTGTGGCACACCAGTGAATTATTCACGACTAACCGTGCCTGCTGAATCCAGATACCTTCATGGGCATCTGGAAGCTATGCTATCAGATGGCCAAATAGTGTCTATGTCACAGAGGACACTGATCAAATGGCTACCTGAGTGACACACCTCCCTGAGGGTCACTGCATCGCTGCTGGACCAGCTCTTTGTTGTGACCCTGGCCTCGGTCAATTGTGTCGTTATCGGCAACACAAATTCAAATTTGACAGCTCAACTGCAGTGACTGAGTGACAGGACTCCAGCGTGACTGAGATGTATGTGTGTATGCCCATTCAGTCTATAAATATGGATGATATTGTCAGACCCATTCAGTCAACAGTCCTTTTTGGTATTGCGGCTCAGACGGTTGTCTGACTGCATCCCTCTTACATGTTATAGTACGTGTTCATCGGTGTGTGATAGAAATAACAACATCATTAACACTTTAACACAGTAATTTCTTTCTAAACTTAAAGTCTGCTTAAATTACCAATGTATGGTCACACTTTATTTAGATTTTCCATCTGTAGATGCTCTACATATTGTCATACTATCAACAAACGATCTGTTGATAAGCAGCTGCTTGCTAAGGTTACAGTTAGGGTTAGGTTTAGAATAGGGTTAGGGTAAGGGTTAATGTTAGGGCTAGGGTAAGGGTTAAGTTAAGGGTTAGTAGATAGTTAGTTAAAATGTTACTGATACTCTGTACACTCGTAGAAAAAAGGGTTCCAAAAGGGTTATTCGGCTGTCCCCATAGGATAACCCTTTATGGTTCTAGGGAGAAACCTTTTTGGTTCCAGATAGAACCCTTTTAGGTTCCATGTAGAACCTTCTGTAGAAAGGGTTCTACCTGGAACCAAAAAGGGTTCTTCGAAGAGTTATCCTATGTGGACAGCTGAAGAACCCTTTTAGGTTCGAGATAGCACCTTTTTGTACAGATGGACTATCCAAATATAGTTACCAAATGTATAGTTAATTTTTATAAGAACACCATCCTTGGTCTCTTTTCCCTCTGTAGCTGAGCCAAAACCAATGTGTTGTATAGTGGGTGTTGTATAGTGAGAGACATTTGCTCTTGGCCTTTGCCTGTGCAAACAACTGTATCCTGGTCATTAAGTCCTCAAATGCCACCAATCAGCCTTTCGCACGCCTTAGTCAAACCCTGTTCTCAGCAGATTGCAGCCTGCCATGTGTTTAACTGGAGAGGGAGTGTGATATATCAATAGAGGCATTGATCCAGGCCACTCCTACACATAATGTAAACATTAGGCTAAACAGCACAAATAGTCTGAATCCATGTTTAACCTTGTGGTGATATACAGTAGTTTCCAAGTTGTTAAAAAACGTAAATACTCCCTCAGTAAACAACATCATAAACTCATCTCTTGTTGAGTCAAAAAATATCCCGGTATGAATATGTTATTTTCTACATAGTGAAGGACAGAGCAAACATGATCACCTGCTGCAAGTGGAACATGACTGCTGCCCAACCCCTCCAGTGAGGGATGCAAATAGTGTTGTTGCAGGTATCAGTTTACATGTTATCCGGAGAGAGGAGAGAGAACAGACACAGTCATCAGATCTCTGCAGTACGCAGGGTACCGGCTACCACTGGCTAAGATGCACTGAAAATAAATACCCAGACAAAAAGGTTGTTCAACTTGGCAACTCCTCCGTTTAGATATGCCCATAGCAGACCTGCTGGGTGTCCAGTTTGACATGTACCTGCTGGGGAGGCTGACGTGTTCCGTGGCAACTGTGCTGCTCAATTTCCTGGGTTTACAGATTCTACAGCTCCAGGGGTACAGCAGCTAAACCCCAGCTCTATGTGAGGCCTCCTTCAGACAGGCCCACTGAAGCACCCAATGGAATCTGTCGGAACTGCAAGATGGAAATGTGGCCTCAAAGCACAGCCAAACATGACTCCAGCAATGATGGGGACAAACAGCCTGGCCACTCACAGATTAGCCCTGTGAGGGATGACCTGACACCTGACAACACCAATACAGGGACAGGGGAAGGAGAATTGCCCCAGACTAAAAACATTGGTCAGCTCACAAACACTGAAGAAATGGCTATGCCGCAGGATGGATCAAATGTAGAAGAAGACAACAGCTTGGAGTTGGAGGGAGAAGTCCCTGTGTTTGTTGAGGAGGCTGAGATAGATATCCCCATGTTTGTTGAAGAGGCTGAGATTAAGATCAGAAATGGTATGTTTGGATCCACCTTGAAACTCCCTTATCCTAATAACAGTGGTGGTCTGGCCAGCCCATCAGGCCGTCTGTCCCCTTGCTTTCTGCAGAGGCTGGAGGGCAGTGTGGGGGTGGGTGTGGGTAGGGAGCTGAGGCAAGACCTGGGGCTGCATGGGGCCTACTCCACCTTCCTCTCCAAGGTAGAGATCACAGTGGAGGATGCCAGCCTCGTGATGGAGGGACCTGGGAACCAGAGCGTTGAGCAAGGAAAGATTTATGAATAATATGTGGAATCCTCCTCGCACTCCATCACAGACTCCATATTAGGTCAGTTTGAGGGGAATTCACTGGACTCACAGTTGGTGGAGTTTGGAAGCCGTGGCAGCAGCTTCACTGGGAGCCCCATCACCATGCGTGAACTGGTTCAGAGGCCGTTTTCCCCAGTTACTCCAGAGCCCAATAAGCCAGCATTCTTATACAAGGACAGCTACCTCCCAGCATCTGAAAATTCAGAGCTCCAGATCACCTCTCTGACACCCAGAGCCTCGACCCCACTGAGGCCCCACCCTCAGGCCTCTTCATCAGGGAATCCCAGCCCTGTCAGTCCCCTCAGTCCCACCACAGACACCAGGCGCCCCAGTGCATGGGAGGAGCCCAGCCTAGAAACCATAGCTGGGGCCAACTTTATAAATCTGCCTCCAGACAACATGGGCAGCTCAGAGTTGGAGAGCCTTAAGGCCAAGCTTGATTTGGGCAACTGCATGGAGGTGTTGGAGCTGTCTAAGAAGCATGGGCAGGCCCCTCTGCAGCTGTCAGCCCTTAGAGTGATGTCTGACAACTACCTCCAGGTCCTCAGGGACCCAGGCCTGTATGGGAGGCTGAGAGCAGGTGATCGGGATGAGATCTAGAAACAGCGTATGAGAGGAAGGCAGTCCCTAGTGGCAGGCAACATGGACCCTAAGGACTGGGTGGAGAGTAGTCCTCAAGGGACAAAAAGGGAGCAGCGAGTCACCAACAAGCCATCTAGTGGTCTCTGCTATTATGATGATTATAAAGACAGCTGGCACCCACTGTGTCCCATCCATCAGGAAGTAATCTCCAAAGGCTGTGCCATGTGCACTATGGACAACTACTTATTTGTAGCAGTGGGGGGCTGCCAGCAGGGCACAGACAGCGAGATGAAGCCTTCCAAGAGAGTGTTCTGCTACAACCGCGTAACGTCCATTTGGAAAGAGATCAGTCCTATGAACGAGTTCAGGCCCCACTGCAAACTGGCAGCCCTGCAGGGCTACATCTATGCCATCGGAGGGGAGTGTTTGTCCACCGTAGAGTGCTATGACCCCCGCTCCGACAGATGGACTTTTGTGGCCCCACTGCCCAATGATACATTTGCTGTGGCCCATCATGTCACAGTGTGCAACGGGGAGCTCTTTGTTCTAGGAAGAACACTGAGATACACACTATTGCGCTACAACCCAAATATCAACGTGTGGAGGAAAAGCGCAATAACGGGAAGCAAAGAGAGGACCACTGACATTGTGGAAGTGAGGAACTTCCTATATTGCTTTGATGTCAACCCGCAGTTAGGCATCAGTGTGTACCGCTACCACACTGTGGCACGACTATGGTACGAGTGCTGCACCAAACGCCTCGCCCAATGCCTCACCTTCCAGTGTGTCGCCATGGACGACACCATCTACTGCATGAGCCGCCAGTTCACCATGAGGTTCCTGGCTGATGAGATCTCTCCAAGATTTGTAGTGGACGATTTGAGTGTCCTCTCTGGAGCCAAGGGCATCCTTTTCCGATTTGTCCTCTCACTTCCTGATACGAAGGCTCTCCAGACCAGCGTGTAACCAGGAATGTTTCTCCTCAGCACAGACAAGGACAGAGCAGTGAAGGAGTATCTCATTTACTTATGCACCAAGGCAATTTTCAGAGCTGAGAGTATCCTACTGAGAAGCACAGCTGTCTTAATCAGAGGCAATGAAAGTAAAATATTAACACCATTAATGGTAATTAGACTACTGCTTGTTTAGATTTATTCAGGGTGCACTGCCATAGAAATTCTATGTAGTTGTGAAGGTGTTTAGTTATTTTCCTTTTCCTCCTTGCACTACATAGTTACTCCTAAATCATGCAAGATGTGCACTTTCTCCCCTGTAAAAATAATTCATAAAACATTCTTAAGTTAATTCACTCAGCCATAATGCTGAGTGATATAGTAATATAGTAATAATCCATCACAGTGGGTTACTGTATATGGAACAAATATTACTCACACAGAGGACTGGATACAATTATCCACATTTGGTCTATAAATATGACATGATGTAAAAGGTTGTGACTTCCAGCATAATGTTTGTAAGCTTCAATAAACAAAAGTAATTGCTACTTTTGAATCTCTTCCAAGATTGGAGCATAGTATACGCCTGATTTCTGCTGTTGTTTTCAACATTGTTGATATTAGAATAGCACTGAACCATGTTCAGTTATTCATGTACCAAAATAATGAATGACTGTGATGAAAGTACTCTTGATTTTATAAACAAATATTTATCCTTACATTTGTACAGTATTAATCAACAGAAGAAAGAAATATGTAGATGTAAATTACTTATCCTAAGCAGTCAAACAACTCTGTGAACAAAAATAATTAAAAACTGAAAGCATTTTGTACAGCAATGTGCTAGCTATTGTGATGTGGTTAAATCATGATTAAAATTAAATTCATTTTCCTTCCAGACAGAGACAGATTTCCTATGGTAAGTCATCAACAATCTAACAAACAGAGCTCTGCTGTGTGATGTGTTGTTTCTGACTGCAGAGTACATCATTGCAATTGTAGGAGGATAGATGTGACGGTTAATGGATGTGTTGCGTAATTACAAAGACAAAATACATGTTTGAATTAAAAGTATAATTGTTTGTTCATTTAAATCAAGCTGTTTGTTCTTACAAAGAGCAATCATAGACTAAGAACAACAACAGTGAGTGATACAGCACCCTCGTTTGGGATTTAAGTTTGTGACATGTCGCTATAGCGCCATCATGTGGTCTGGTCTATACATATATACACTACCGTTCAAAAGTTTGGGGTCACTAAGAAATGTCCTTGTTTTCGAAAGAAAAGCAATTTTTCTGTCCATTAAAATAACATCAAATTGATCAGAAATACAGTGTAGACATTGTTAATGTTGTAAATGGTTATTGTAGCTGGAAACAGCTGATTTTTTATGGAATATCTACATAGGCGTACAGAGGCCCATTATCAGCAACCATCAGTCCTGTGTTCCAATGGCACGTTGTGTTTGCTAATCCAAGTTTATCATTTTAAAAGGCAAATTGATCATTAGAAAACCCTTTTGCAATTATGTCAGCAAAGCTGAAAACTGTTGTGCTGATTAAAGAACCAATAAAACTGACCTTCTTGAGACTAGTTGAGGATCTGGAGCATCAGCAATTGTTGGTTCGATTACAGGCTCAAAATGGTCAGAAACAAATAACTTTCTTCTGAAACTCGTCAGTCTATTCTTGTTCTGAGAAATGAAGGCTATTCCATGTGAGAAATTGCCAAGAAACTAAAGATCTCGTACAACGCTGTGTACTACTCCTTTCACAGAACAGCGCAAACTGGCTCTAACCAGAATAGAAAGAGGTGTGGGAGGCCCCGGTGCACAACTGAGCAAGAGGACAAATACATTAGAGTGTCTAGTTTGAGAAACAGGCGCCTCACAGGTCCTCACCTGGCAGCTTCATTAAATAGTACCCACAAAAACTAGTCTCAACATCAACAGTGAAGAGGCGACTCCGGGATGCTGACCTTTTAGGCAGAGTTGCAAAGAAAAAGCCATATCTTAGACTGGCCAATAAAAATAAAAGATTAAGATGGGCAGTCTGAGATATGGCTTTTTCTTTGCAACTCTGCCTAGAAGTCGCCTCTTCACTGTTGATGTTGAGACGGGTGTTTTGCGGGTACTATTTAATGAAGCTGCCAGTTGAGGACCTGTGAGGTCAAAATTGCTTTTCTTTCGAAAACAAGGACATTTCTAAGTGACCCCAAACTTTTGAACAGTAGTGTATATATATATAGCATATAGAGTCTGTGTCTGAATAACTAAATATGAAAGTACAAAGGAGTAATTTGCACTGTGTGTAGCATAACCAATAACACATAACCTACACGTCTTCTGAGTCACACAAAATCATCAGTGCACTTAATTATTGAAATGAGTAACAGAGAGGCAGGCAAAGGGATTCAGCTGCTCTGGCTGAGGCAGCAGGAGAAGAGAGACACAGATGGTTGACCATCAAACATAAGCATCTTTCATTCCTCCTAATTAAACACTTTAATTCCCTGTAATTAAATACCTAATGGAATAGTCCCCTCAGAGTTCCCCTTACATGACTAATAGCTCCTGATATGAATGAATACCCAGGTCAGCTCTGACATTAACACTCTCTTTGATTTCAAAGTATCTAGGCTAGGGCAATACTAACTGCCCCTTTTGAGTTGCGACTATTAGCTAAGTGCGAGGAAAAATAATTTGCATTTGAATATCCTAAATGGTCAGATGATTTGCGGACTCTCCCTCCCTCTCCTGCATGCACACACACACACTCACACACACACATAGGAAGAGAGAGCCTAGACTTTAAGAGATCATAATGAGACTCCTGTTTAATTTTTACATATTTTGATTTCCCAAATGTTCTGCTCCATTAAATGTTTAATGCCTCAGACTAATGAAAATAAAATCCTCAAACAGCACCACATTGAGTATGGCCCCTGAGTATCTAAACAGCGTGGGAGCCTGAGCTCTGTGTCTACACCCAAGAGAGGGGAGGGAGGAGGCTGGCGGAGACTGAGTTGTCTTGGACCTGTCTGCAGGACTGTTGTTTCAGATCCAGGTCGTTGTTGTTCCGATTGGCAGGATGGTGCTTGCTGTAGAGGCCACCTGGCACACTGGCTAAGCGGGGCTGGCAGAAAGCACTTAGTGGGTGCCTCTGGTACGCTGACCTGTACACACCTAGCGCTGGGAAGGGGGGCTGCTGCTGGTCCGGACGGACCTGTCTAGACTCCACCAGGCCAAAGTTAGTTTGAGGTGCTGGGAGGGAGAAGGAAGGGAAGGAGAGAGGGCTCAGCTGTTACAGTGATGCAGTCATTAGTCATATCTGTGACAGATTTGGAATAATCAAAGGCTATTTATTCTGCCTAAACTTTAATTGTGGAACACTGCTTATTTTTTTTCTTTACTTATTTTCTTTACTTGACTCCAGTTTGTAATTACAGCTGACATTTTTATGTGCCACAGTCAAGTAAATATAAGTATTTTCATAATTAAAACATACTGTGCAATGACTTTAAGTACACATATACAAGTGGTTTTGTTCAACCAGGGTGCAGTGTTCCTTATGGGTTTTGCACTCAAAACTTGATGGAACCAATGCTTTAGAAAAGGGCTATTCTAATGTTGACTTGATCTCTTACCCAAGATTGGATCACATTGGGTGGTCAGACTTCTCTGGCATCCTCGCCAGCCTGTCTGGATGCCAGGAGCACAATGTGGGCAGGGTGGAGGTGACCTGGCGTCCGTACATCTCATCATATAGGGTGACCAGGTAATGGGAGGGCATCGTGCCGTGGTGGGAGAGAAGCAGCTTGGCAGGAAGGCCCTGGAACACGCCACAACACACTATTCTACTGGCCATCATGGCTTTAAAATAATGGCAAGAGGGCACACTGTTTCTTTGATTGATTATCTCATTATCTCGGGGGATACAAATAGTCTAAGTTTGGATTTTGTTCTAACAGACTTTTAGACCATACTTCACAAGCCTTTTGCTAACACTAATAACATTATGATCCTGCTGTGTAAGCTTTCCACAGCGCCATTCGTCTCAAGATGTCGTCTGGCCAGTGGTCCCTCTGTGGTTGGTAGTCTGCATGGTTGGTGCTGTTGGCTGTCTTACACTCTCGAGTGAATTGTCTTGGACAGACAAGGTAAATAGACAGAAAGAGGAGTAGGAGTGGGTGAGAGGAGGAGGAGAAGAGGAGGGAATGCTCAGCCACTTAAGCTTGAGCCCAGCATGAGCTCAGCAAAACTCACACTTCACCATCGATCCATGCTGTTGTACAGTATTTCTAAAGGTATCCCTCTAGTCAGATCCTGAAGCAGCAGCCCATGGCCCTGCTTGGCATCAATGCAATTAGATTGCCTCTCAAGTCTCTCACACTGGGAGTCTGTGCTGATGTATATAACTTAAATGAAGCCCTCTAATCATTTTTGTATAGATTTGCAAACCAACTGAGAAGCAGCAAAACCATTGGAAACCAGCCATTGAACTAGTTTGTTTAAGATCTTTGGCTACAGAAAGCAGGAGGTACAGCACATTCTCACATTCAGCGCAGGTTTTTCTTGGGAGAATCTCATTTGGATAGAAAGGAAAGGCTGCTGTGCTCACACTTTGATGTAATTAAAACTCTTGATAATGACTATTGATGACTCTTGCCAAATGTTGCATTACTTGATGAATTATGAACATTCATCACAGGCAATGCATAATACCAACAGCAATTAATTGAAATTACCTGAAAATCCCCAAATAAACTTTGATTATAGTTTTAAAACAAATTTCAGACAGTGAAATATGTTTGCACCAGAGTTAGCTAAGCACAGCTAATTTTCATCCGCAGTCCTAACTTACAGTGCCTTGCAAAAGTATTCATCCCCCTTGGCATTTTTCCTATTTTGTTGCATTACAACCTGTAATTTAAATTGATTTTTATTTGGATTTCATGTAATGGACCTACACAAAATAGTCCAAATTGGTGAAGTGAAATTTAAAAAAAGAAGTTGTTTCAAAATATTCTAAAAATAAATAACGGAAAAGTGGTACGTGCACATGTATTCAAACCCTTTACTATGAAGCCCCTAAATAAGATCTGGTGCAACCAATTACCTTCAGAAGTCACATAATTAGTTAAATAAAGTACACATGTGTGCAATCTAAGTGTTACATGATCTGTCACATGATCTCAGTATATATACACCTGTTCTGAAAGGCCCCAGAGTCTGCAATACCACTAAGCAAGGGGCACCACCAAGCAAGCAGCAACATGAAGACCAAGGAGCTCTCCAAACAGGTCAGGGACAAAGAGGAGAAGTACAGATCAGGGTTGGGTTATAAAAAAATATCAGAAACTTTGAACATCCCACCGAGCACCATTAAATCCATTATTAAAAAATGGAAGAATATGGCACCACAACAAACCTGCCAAGAGAGGGCCGCCCACCAAAACTCACGGACCAGGCAAGGAGGGCATTAATCAGAGAGGCAACAAAGAGACCAAAGATAACCCTGAAGGAGCTGCAAAGCTCCACAGCGGAGATTAGAGTATCTGTCCATAGGACCACTTTAAGCCGTACACTCCACAGAGCTGGGCTTTACGGAAGAGTGGCCAGAAAAAAGCCATTGCTTAAAGAAGAAAATAAGCAAACACGTTTGGTGTTCACCAAAAGCCATGTGGGAGACTCCCCAAACATATGTAAGAAGGTACTCTGGTCAGATGACACAAAAATTGAGCTTTAGGCCATCAAGGAAAACACTATGTCTGGCGCAAACCCAACATCTCTCATCACCCCGAGAACACCATCCCCACAGTGAAGCATGGTGGTGGCAGCATCATGCTTTGGGGATGTTTTTCTTCAGCAGGGACTGGGAAGCTGGTCAGAATTGAAAGAATGATGGATGGCGCTAAATACAGGGAAATTCTTGAGGGAAACCTGTTTCAGTCTTCCAGAGATTTGAGACTGGGACGGAGGTTCACCTAGCAGGACAATAACACTAAGCATACTGCTAAAGCAACACTTGAGTGGTTTAAGGGGAAACATTTAAATGTCTTGGAATGGCCTGGTCAAAGCCCAGACCTAAAGATGACTTAAAGATTGCTGTACACCAGCGGAACCCATCTAACTTGATGGAGCTGGAGCAGTTTTGCCTTGAAGAATGGGCAAAAATCCCAGTGGCTAGATGTGCCAAGCTTATAGAGATATACCCCAATTGACTTGTAGCTGTAATTGCTGCAAAAGGTGGCCCTACAAAGTATTGACTTTGGGGGGGGGGGGGGGGGATGAATAGTTATGCACGCTCAAGTTTTCTTTATTTTTTGTCTAATTTCTTGTTTGTTTCACAAGAAAAAATATTTTGCATCTTCAAAGTGGTAGGCATGTTGTGTAAATCAAATGACAGAAATCCCCCCAAAATCTATTTTAATTCCAGGTTGTAATGCAACAAAATAGGAAAAATGCCAAGGGGGGTTAATACTTTCGCAAGCCACTGTAAGTGAACTAAATACATAAACACATCACTCATCCAGTAGTATAGTGGGATATTTATGTGATAATGCCCGAGAAGCTTCGAGGGCATTATCACTTTTATACACTTTTATACAACGGGTTACCAAAATATTCAAATAATGATCGACATATTTTCAATAAAAACGTTATTTTGATGAATTTATTCATACTATTTAATCCTTCCACAAGATATAGTCGCGACACAAATCTAGGGTTGCTACCCAAGCCGCCTGGTCGTTTGTTCTATCAGTTCGGTTGCTAGAGACGCGACCCAGTCGTTCAGTCTTTATGTTTTGTATCTATGGACGAGACCCAGTTGTTTGTTCTAAATGTTCCATTGCTATACTGCCTGGCAACGTTCTTATCCCTTGCTTGCTAGCTAACCAACTACGGCTAACTTACAGTCACGTCAAAAAGCGCAGCCAGAATAACTGCAAAGTAGCCAAATTTGCATTTGTTTAAGCTGTTTTCTAGTGACATTTATTTGCATACATCCATAACAATGAGCTAATGAGGCGAGATTTTGCCTGGCATAGAACATTTGCTCACTCGTCAGGACACTGTTGTTCAACAACACAGCTAACACAATCACTTCAAACTGAAGCTGGAAAGACTGCAAACTAGCTGAACTTCGTTTAGTTTTACCTTTCTTCAATTGACATATCCATAAAAATGATGCCAGCTGATTCATGATTTCGACTGGCTGAGAAACACTGCTAGCATGTCTGTCTCATCCCGACTCCTGACACGTTCATTACTATGGGACAGATGGAGATCAAATTTTAATATTGAAACAATGTTGCAAATGTCGGAGAGACAGACAGCAAGGTTTATACAAATCTCCGCTTTTGAAAACTAAATGTTAGTCTAAAACAAATGTGAGATAATGTCTAGATGCTTTTTATAGTGGAGATCAAGTTTATGTGGTCCTCTGTAGCTCAGCTGGTAGAGCACGGCGCTTGTAACGCCAAGGTAGTGGGTTCGATCCCCGGGACCACCCATACACAAAAAAATGTATTCACGCATGACTGTAAGTCGCTTTGGATAAAAGCGTCTGCTAAATGGCATATTATTATTATTATTATTATAAATTGCATGGCTGGGCTGATGAGACAGTGGATTGCGCACGTCATAGATTTAGCCAGTGGTAACTTGTGGAATAGACACCATCTGGAACGCGGTTTTGTAACGTTGATGCTGTGATTCGAAAAGCAGGTGCAGGTGAAGCGTTGAATAAAATAACAAATATGAAACGAGACAGCGTAACAGTGGCGATATAGCATAAACACAGGAACAATACCGACTGAGGACTAAATGTAAGGGAGGGACATATAAAGGGGAGGTAATGAGGAAGGTAATGGAGTCCAGGTGTGAATCATAATGATCTGTAGGTGCGCGTAATGATGGATGCCAGGTGTGCGTAATGATGAATCCCAGGACCGGTGGTTAGTATTCCGGCGACGTCGCACGCTGGAGGGGAGGAGCAGGAGTAGATGTGACAGGTTTTAACCAATCAGCATTCACGATTAGACCCACCCATTATATAAAACAGATTAAAACAAATACAGGAAACATAAAATAGAACAAATAATAAAATATATACAGGACACTTGAGACTTGAATGTATTGAGAATTAGTCAATGCGTGTCACGCCCTGGCTCTGGGGACTCTTTTATGTTGAGCCAGGGTGTTAGTTTCTATGTTGTAGTTTCTATGTGTTTATTCTAGATCGTTTAGATCTATGTTGGCCAGGGTGGTTCCTGATCAGAGGCAGCTGTTGCTCATTGTCTCTGATTGGGATCCATACTTAGGCAGCCTGTTTTGCACAGTTATTGGTGGGATCTTGTTCTTTATAGGTTTGTGTTTGTGAACCTTTAGACTTCACGTATCGTTTTGTTGTTTTTGTGATTGTATTAAGTACTCATTAAAAGATGTACGCCTATCACGCTGCGCCTTGGTCCGGTTCTTACGACGATCGTGACAGAAGATCCCACCAAAGAAGGACCAAGCAGCGTGTTCAGGAGCAAACACCGGGAAAGGAACTGGAGAGGTTGGCGATGTCCCAGGTGGGCGAATGGTGGTCTTGGGAGGACATGTTCGCGGGCAAAGGGCCATGGGCAAAAGTTAAAGCCTTGGCGAGAGAGGAGGTACGGCGCCAACCGTGCCGTCGTCGGACAGGCGAGAATTTTTTTTGGGGGGGGCACACGGCATGGACGACGGGGCTGCTGGAGGCAGCTACAGGGCGAGTTTGTGGACTAGGAGAGGAGGCCACCAGGTTACGGGGGCCATTGGTCATGAGGGGGAAGGAGAGTGTAGAGGCACGGCGAGAGGTACTGGGGTCTGTTACCAGTCCGGTCCGGCCCATTCCTGATCCCCACACAAGGCCAGTGGTGTGTGTTCCCAGTACGGTCCGGCCTGTTCCTGTCCCTCGCACCAATTCTGTGGTGCGCGTCGCCAGCCCGGTCCGGCCCGTTCCTGCTCCCCGCACCAAGCCAGTGGTGCTCGTCGTCAGCCCGGTCCGGCCCGTTCCTGCTCCCCGCACCAAGCCAGTGGTGCGTGTCACCAGCCCGGTCCGGCCCGTTCCTGCTCCCCGCACCAAGCCAGTGGTGCGCGTCGCCAGCCCGGTTCGGCCTGTTCCTGCTCCCCGCACCAAGCCAGTGGTGCGCGTCGTCAGCCCGGTCCGGCCCGTTCCTGCTCCCCGCACCAAGCCAGTGGTGCGCGTCGTCAGCCCGGTCCGGCCCGTTCCTGCTCCCCGCACCAAGCCAGTGGTGCGCGTCGTCAGCCCGGTCCGGCCCGTTCCTGCTCCCCGCACCAAGCCAGTGGTGCGCGTCGCCAGCCCGGTCCGGCCTGTTCCTGCTCCCCGCACCAAGCCAGTGGTGCGCGTCGTCAGCCCGTTCCCGCTCCCCGTACCAAGCCAGTGGTGCGCGTCGTCAGTCCGGCACGGTCCGTGCCTGTTCCACCTGTGCCTGGTCCGGCACCGGTCAGCTGCTCCACGCCGGAGCCAGAGCAATCCGCTCCACCGGTGTTCAGTCCAGCTCCGGCCAGCAGGGCCAGACCACGAGGGCGAGACAGAGAGTGGTGATCACGCCCGGAGTCGGATCTGCCCACCCGGCCCCTCCCCTGTTGGGTTTAGTTGGCGCGGTCGCAGTCCGCGCCTTTGGGGGGGGGGGGGTACTGTCACGCCCTGGCTCTGGGGACTCTTTTATGTTGAGCCAGGGTGTTAGTTTCTATGTTGTAGTTTCTATGTGTTTATTCTAGATCGTTTAAATCTATGTTGGCCAGGGTGGTTCCCGATCAGAGGCAGCTGTTGCTCGTTGTCTCTGATTGGGATCCATACTTAGGCAGCCTGTTTTGCACAGTTATTGGTGGGATCTTGTTCTTTATAGGTTTGTGTTTGTGAACCTTTAGACTTCACGTATCGTTTTGTTGTTTTTGTGATTGTATTAAGTACTCATTAAAAGATGTACGCCTATCACGCTGCGCCTTGGTCCGGTTCTTACGACGATCGTGACAATGCGTGCCAGATTGATATGCCTTGATCCACACTTTGACCTCCATGGAGAAGAATTTAAGTCACTAGTGCTTCTTAAGGTAGTGGGGAGGGAATTACATTTTCTGATGCCTAGGGTGGAGAATGCTGACTGCCCAAAGTTCTTCTTTTAGGCATGACACTGTCTCCTCTGAAAATGTAATATGTACCGGTAATAGATTATAAACCCTACCTGCAGCTTCTCTTCCACCCAGTTGCCAATTATAACTTTTTTGCATACATCTGCTCTATTCTCCAGTCAGGTTAGGCCCATTGGTTAGGCCCATTTATCATTATTCCTGTTTGCCCATACTGTACATGGTTCTGAACATGGTGTCACAAACAGCTGATCATGAGCTAGTTTAGTCCTAATATCAGAACATAGTTAGTTCAAACAGAACGGATGATGGTGCATTCCTCCTGATCTTATTGTGACATAGGCACCAGAGGGGAAGAGGAAGCTCTGTTGCTATGGATACAGCAAACATTCTGTGACTGACAGACAGAATACTGGAGCAGTAGTGGAGGCAAATAGGAGGCGCAGGACCTGCATTACAATATGACTTGCATGCAATACTTTAGAATGGTTCTGTATTTCTGAACGTCTGAGAATTCTGCAGCAGTTAGTCTATGGCTCATGCATGCTATATATGTCTTAATTTAAATTATAATGAATATAATTTGATTTTCTGTAGAAATGAAAACAAATGCCTTAATTGATGAAAATAAGAGTAAAACATGTACTAAGCTGTGTAAGTGTTTATTAGCTTTGCCTTACTGTAAACAGAACAAAGTCACTTTCCAGGAACATGAAAAACTTCCTCTCTAAATAATCCACATAACATTTGAATCCGCACAGATCAAACTTCAACATCCATTTAATCACTTTAGTGTTTCTCAAAGGGTTTTTACATAGCTTACAATACTATCTACAGCTCGTGTTGCAGACGGGAAGGTTAGCCAGCCCGCTTTGAAAAAATCCACGAGTCCATGGAAGCCATCTGGAACATGATGCCAGGTGACGTCCAGTCCCAGCTCCAGCAGCCTCTTCCTGTACAGGATCCCATCATCCCTCAGCACGTCGTACTCACAGGTCAGGATAAAGGCCGGCGGGGTCAGATGGATAACAGCATCCTCCGCTAGGAGCGGGGAGACCTCCGGATCCAGACCGTCTTTGATTATGTGGTACACCTCTCCGCTGTAGTCTAAGGCTGAGTGTACCTTCTGGAGGTCGCCCCGCACCCTGCACTCAGGAGGGAGGTGTTCTGGGGAGAGCCACTCCTTGAAAGCTAGCCTCATCTCAGCAGGGATGTGGTTCCCCTCCAGCACGTCCTGGCACACTGACGTGTCCCCGTTGAGATACTGCAGGAAGTAGAAAGCCATCCGGCCACGGAACAATATGGGCACAGCATGATTCTGCTGGTACGAGGGCAGGTTGAAATCTGCCATTTGCAGAGCTGGGTAGATGAGGACCTGGGCACAGGGAGACAGCAGATGTCCATCTTTTCTCTTGGCCAGACGTTGGCATAGTGCAGCTGCCAGGTTTGCACCAACACTATCACCCCCGACTGCCACTCTGCCTGGGTCCACCCCAAACTCTGCCTCTGCCACAGACAGGAAGTGGCACGTTGCAGCATCACAGTCATCCAGCTGAATGGGGTACCGATGTTCAGGGGCAAGCCGATATCTAGAAGGCATGAGAGGGTGGAGAAAGGAGCAACCTGTCAAGTCTTTGACAGCTTCACAGCCCTTTTCACTGTATTAATCTGCTTTGGAATCACATGTTGAGGCAGTGAGTCAGAAAGTAAAAGTTACCCAACAGAAATCACTGTGGTTTCAGCCTCCTTGGCAATGTGCCTGCAGACGTCATCTGCAGTATCTAATCACGATAAACAGAACATTAGTTTTAGACTTTAGTAAACAGAGGATTAACATTTTGCAGGACCTTATGGTAAGACAAGCAATACTCTCAGTCGGTACACCCTGCCCGCCTGTGGGGAAAACAACCTGTGGTTACCTAGGTTACCCCATTGGCTCACAGCAAAAACCTTACCTTTTTCAAACACAATTTTCTTGTTGTCTGCTTGTTTTAGTCAATTGCAAAACTACAGTTAAGAAAAGTACATGTCTAAAGACTACTTTTCAACATTGCCTGCTCCCAAGCTTTCTCACTACTTAGAAAAACGTAACATTGTAGCACTTCCCTCATGCCCCTTTTCATGACGGTGCTAGCAGCCACATGAGTGAGCGCTAGCTAGCTACCGACCAGAACATTAAGCTAGCCAAGACAAAAACACAAACAAACTGACGATACAGCTACAAGTAGTGAATGGAGTTACAAACAGACTATACTAAACAAGTTAAACGTCTTACCTGTCATTAAATGTTTTCCACACACAGAGCTAGCTAAAGTGCATTCGGAAAGTATTCAGACCACATTTTGTTACGTTACAGCCTTATTCTGAAATTGATTAAATTGTCCCCCCCCCCCCTCATCAATCTACACACAATACCCCATAATGACAAAGCAAAAACAGGTTTTTATAAATTTGAGCAAATTTATTTTAAAAAAACCCAGAAATATTACATTTACATAAGTATTCAGACCCTTTACTCAGTACTTTATAGAAGCACCTTTGGCAGTGATTACAACCTTGAGTCTTCTTGTGTATGAGGCTACAAGCTTGGCACACTTGTATTTGGGGAGTTTCTCCCATTCTTCTCTGCAGATCCTCTCAAACTCTCAGGTTGGATGGGGAGCGTCGCTGCACAGCTATTTTCATGTCTCTCCAGAGATGTTCGATTGGGTTCAAGTCCGGGCTCTGGCTGGGCCACTCAATGACATTCAGAGACTTGTCCCGAAGCCACTCCTGCGTTGTCTTGGCTGTGTGCTTAGGGTCGTTGTCCTGTTGGAAGGTGAACCTTCGCCCCAGTCAGAGGTCATGAGCGCTCTGGAGCAGGTTTTCATCAAGGATCTCTCTGTACTTTGCTCCGTTCATCTTTACCTCGATCCTGACTAGTCTCCCAGTCCTTGCTGCTGAAAAACATCCCCACAGCATGATGCTGCCACCACCATGCTTCACCGTAGGGATGGTGCCAGGTTTCCTCCAGACATGGCGCTTGGCATTCAGGCCAAAGAGTTCAGTTTCATCAGACCAGAGAATCTTGTTTCATGGTCTGAGTCCTGTAGGTGCCTTTTGGCAAACTCCAAGCGGGCTGCCATGTGCCTTTTACTGAGGAGTGGCTTCCGTCTGGCCACTCTACCATAAAGACCTGATTGGTGGAGTGCTGCAGAGATGGTTGTCCTTCTGGAAGGTTCTCCCATCTCCACAGAGGAACTCTGGAGCCCTGTCAAAGTGACCATCGGGTTCTTGGTCATCTCCCTGACCAAAGCCCTTCTCCCCCGATTGCTTAGTTTGGCTGGGCGGCCAGGTCTAGGAAGAGTCTAGGTAGTTTAAAACTTCTTCCATTTAAGAATGATGGAGGCCACTGTGTTCTTGGGGACCTTCAATGCTGCAGACATTTTTTGGTACCCTTCCCCAGATCTGTGCCTCGACACAATCTTGTCTCTGAGCTCTACGGACAATTCCTTCGACCTCATGACTTGGTTTTTGCTCTGACATGCACTGTCAACTGTGGGACCTTATATAGACATGGTGTGTGCCTTTCCAATCAATTGAATTTACCACAGGTGGACTTAAATCAAGTTGAAGAAACATCTCAAGGATGATCAATGGAAACAGGATGCACCTCAGCTCAATTTTGAGTCTCATAGCAATAAGGTATTTCTGTTTTTTATTTTTAATACATTTGCAAACATTTCTAAAATCCTATTTTTGCTTTGTCATTATGGGGTATTGTGTGTAGATTGATGAAAAAAATCATATTAATCAATTTTAGAATAAGGCTGTAACGTAACAAAATGTAGAAAAAGTCAAGGGGTCTGAATACTTTCCGAATGCACTGTACATGTAGCCTACTTGGACACTGGCTCCCAACAATTTCCCACACCGAATAGCCTGAAGCTACAGGGCTCTTCTCACAGGCTTTATTTCCATACGTAGGAGCATTGCATTGCATTGCATTGCATGTACATTGAACAACACAGCAGCTTTTCGGCATGATTTGTTACAGTATTTCTGTACAACAAAAAATTGTCAACGAAGTTGGCTCATTTACACTGGGGGTCAATGGGAAATCATTTGTGGGCATGGTCAAGGGAATTCCTTATTATTACATGAATATCGACTCGGAGTATATCACCTAGACATAATTTTTGTCTGATCTTATTACCCAAACTGCCCAACACCCATCCTCCTCCATGGAAATACACCAGGCCCCTCCTCAGGCCCAGTGAGCCAGTCGTGGGCTCATACACCCTAACTGGCACCTCAGAGAAGGTCAGGTCCTTCACACGTAGCCCTGGGGGAACTGGTCTTATATGGACCAGGAACCTTCTTCTGAACCACCTGGTGAACCTGACCTGATGACACAGACCCAGACGGTCCAGGATACGGCCCTGACAGGACAGAAAGGGGGGGGGGGGGGGGAGAGAGGTGGCATTTCTCATAAAAGGTAGAACACATTGTATGCAGATTTATTCAGGTGGCTTAGCCTATAGCCTATCTTAGAAGTAAGGTCAACACGAACCATTGTGAGCTGGAATATTTTTCAATTGCAACAATATAGCTTTTCTTATTGCTTGCACATTAAGATTCAATGAATGCAACAGCTCAGTTCATTTTAAGGAGTCTCTTCACGCTTACTAAACTTCGTAAAAATATCATCTGCTACACATATTACTCAAATGTAAACTTGCATACTTGCTACGTCTCGACCACTACCCCCGGAGGTTGCGCACAACACTCACCCGACAGTTGCCCCCCTTGATGCAGGGCAGTGTAAATATAATTGTCTTGTTGAGCCAACACTCCTCCAGTATAAATTGTACTTTTTCCTAATATTTGAGACTTGTTTTGAGTTTTTACCTGAAATTGCAGTAACAGCCTGTTATATTCTGAAATAGTCACAGTAGCTGCCGGCTGCACTGAGCCACGTAAAACTATGGAAGACCATCCCCACCATCAAAAACATGTAAAATGTACCCCCCCAAAAAATATTATATATATATATATATATATATATATATATATATATGTATTAGATCATACAAATAGGATATGCTTTTTCATTTGTAAAATTATGTGGTGATGTCAGAGGTGGCACCACAGGTCCCAGAGTATGACATAGTCACAAATCAGCTGTAAAAAAAAAAACTATAAAACTCTTATATGGGCTATGATGGGACCAGAAACTTTTTCTAATAAGATCATACCTTAAAAAAAAATCATGGCCCTAGGGAGGATGAAAATATTAAAACCCTTTACATTTACATTTACATCATTTACCAGACGCTCTTATCCAGAGCGACTTACAAGACAGAGATGAAAAACGTGATTGGACAAAAACTAACAGGGCTGAGCTTGCTGTATGCAAGGTTGCATTGTGTAGGGCTTTGCATCTGTAACTAAAAATATACTCATACAGCATATCATCACTATTGTGTTGATTGATTAATTCCAGTCAATAATTTGGTATTAAAAAGGCCTAGGTACCCATGTTTTCAGTTGCAAATGGATTTGACCACGTAATGATTTGCATGATATTGATAAAAATTAAGCTTGGTTTACATTTACATTATTTTTTAGCCATTTTGTTGTAACGTTGTAAGGTAGGCCTACTGTACTTTTATATTCGTATAAGAGGGTTAATCGTTCATTTTTGATAGGCTAACGGTACTGAAGACATGCCGTTATAGCAACTCTGTGCTTTTGTCTTGAAGCTAAAATGTAATGAGTGTATCCTACAGACAAGAAACTAAACCCTGTAATTGTCTGCACATACATGCTTGTGAATTGTTGCATTATTCAAGAGTGTAATATGGTTTGGTTGCATTATTCAATAGTGTAATATGTTTTAGAATAACGTTTCTGTCATCGTTGAATAGTTTATGCTTACTGGCTACTGTGATATTTACGGTCAATTTGAGCTGCGGACTAAGAATGTCGTGTTGCCAGCCACAATGAAAGGTAAGGTAATGATGTAATGTGAATTGAAAAGTAGATATCTCTTTCGCCACCCCGCTCCTCAGACTCTCCTTCATATCTCATAGTGGGAATAGGGCCATAATGACACCATGACACAGTTAAGGTTTTACCAGTAGGTGGACTTTGTATTGACCCTAATAGAGTGTTGAGGAGGAGGAGGAGCTCTGTGGACCATTATGGTCCGGAAGTAATTTAGCCATTCATTGTAGCCATTGGTGCTCTGTAGAGTTGCTATTTTATCGAGTTTGCTCGTGTCAATTAACACGTGACATTCCTGGATTACTTATTATACTAATAAAGTCTGATTTTGCTGCAAAGAGATAGAATCATTAGATCACTTGTTTTTGTACTGCCCATATGTAGCTTGTTTTTTGTCACAGGTTCAGGAATGGCTGGAAAATTGTGACATTTACTTGGAGATAACTCTGCGAATAGCACTGCTGGGTGATTTGAAAAGTCATAGTCAATCGATCAATAATATAATAATACTCTTAGTAAAAAATGTTATCTTTAATTTACAATCTGTATAAACTATGAGAATAGAAAGGTTCTGAAATTTTGTGAAACATCACAGCACAGTGGAAGAATATAGGGCAGCTAGAAATCAAAACTGGGTGGTCTTCAGAGATAGATGGAAGAGGTTGAGGGAACCTGAAGGATGGGACTAAAAACAAACAAAAGATAACTGTGTTTGTAAAATTGATATAGTATGTACTCTATAAGCTGGAAGTAGAAGCCTAACTATTGTTGTCCATTAGTTTACACCAATTAGGGGAGGGGTGGTAGGGTTAGGGGAAAATAATAAAGAAGGAAAATATATATTTAAAATAATATATATATATATACAAAAAAAAAACATATAAACGCAACATGCAACAATTTCAAGATTTTACTGAGTTACAGTTCATAGAAGGAAATCAGTCAATTGAAATGAATGCATTAGGCCCAAATCTATGGATTTCACATGACTGGTCAGGGGCGCAGCCATGGGCCTGGGAGGGCATAGGCCCACCCACTTGGGAGCCAGGTCCACCCACTGGGGAGCCAGGCAGAGCCAATCAGAATGAGTTTTTCCCCACAAAAGGGCTTTATTACAGACAGAAATACTCCTCGTCAGACAATCCCACAGGTGAAGCCGGATGTGGAGGTCTTGAGCTGGCGTGGTTACACATGGTCTGCGGTTGTGAGGCCGGTTGGATGTACTGCCAAATTCTCTAAAATGACGTTGGAGGTGGCTTATGGTAGAGAAATGAACATTCAATTCTCTGGCAACAGCTCTGGTGGACATTCCTGCAGTCAGCATGCCAATTGCATGCTCCCTCAGAACTTGAGACATCTGTGGCATTGTGTTGTGTGACAAAACTGCACATTTTAGTGGCCTTTTATTGTCCCCGGCACAAGGTACTGTGTAAGGATAATGCTGTTTAATCAGCTTCTTGATATGCCACACCTGTCAAGTGGATGGATTATCTTGACAAATGATAAATGTTTACCAACAGGGATGTAAACAAATTTCTGCACAAAATTTGAGAGAAATAAGCTTTTAGTGCATATGGAAAATTTCTGGGATCTTTTATTTACATGTTGTGTTTATATTTCTGTTCAGTATATACAGTTGAAGTCGGACGTTTACATACACTTAGGTTGGAGTCATTAAAACTTGTTTTTCAACCACTCCACAAATTTCTTGTTAACAAACTATAGTTTTGGCAAGTCGGTTAGGACATCTACTTTGTGCATGACACAAGTAATTCTTCCAACAATTGTTTACAGACAGATTATTTCACTTATAATTCACTGTATCACAATTCCAGTGGGTCAGAAGTTTACATACACTAAGTTGACTGTGCCTTTAAACAGCTTGGAAAATGGCTTTAGAAGCTTCTAATAGGCTAATTGACATCATTTGAGTCAATTGGAGGTGTACCTGTGGATGTATTTCAAGGCCTTCCTTCAAACTCAGTGCCTCTTTGCTTGACATCATGGGAAAATCAAAAGAAATCAGCCAAGACCTCAGAAAAAAAATTGTAGACCTCCACAAGTCTGGTTGATCCTTGAGAGCAATTTCCAAATGCCTGAAGGTACCACATTCATCTGTACAAACAATAGTACGCAAGTATAAACACCATGGGACCACACAGCCATCATACCGCTCAGGAAGGAGACGCGTTCTGTCTCCTAGAGATGAACGTACTTTGGTGCGAAAAGTGCAAATCAATCCCAGAACAACAGCAAAGGACCTTGTGAAGATGCTGGAGGAAACAGGTACAAAAGTATCTATATCCACAATAAAACAAGTCCTATATCGACATAACCTGAAAGGCTGCTCAGCAAGGAAGAAGCCATTGCTCCAAAACCGCCATTAAAAAGCCAGACTACGGTTTGCAACTGCACATGGGGACAAAGATTGTACTTTTTGGAGAAATGTCCTAAGGTCTGATGAAACAAAAATAGAACTGTTTGGCCATAATGACCATCATTATGTTTGGAGGAAAAAGGGGGTAGCTTGCAAGCTGAAGAACACCATCCCAACCGTGAAGCACGGGGGTGGCAGCATCATGCTGTGGGGGTGCTTTGCTGCATTGAGTGTATGTAAACTTCTGACCCACTAGGAATGTGATGAAAGAAATAAAAGCTGAAATAAATCATTCTCTCCACTATTATTCTGACATTTCACTTTCTTAAAATAAAGTGGTGATCCTAACTGTTCTAAGACAGGGAATTTTTACTAGGATTAAATGTCACGAATTGTGAAAAACTGAGTTTAAATGTATTTGGCTAAGGTGTATGTAAACTTCTGACTTCAACAGTATATATTTACCCAAAAAATATATGGGGGATTGGAAATGATGCAGACAATTAGATTAATACAAGCCACAATAATTTTGCAATATTAAAGCTGATCTACCCACTAATAAAATTACATAACAATAATAATATAAATAATGTCTGATTTAATCAACAAATATGATAGTCCATTTAGAAAAGGTTAAGGGCACAAGACTGTGTCCATATCTGGCTGTGTTGGCAAAATCACTACATATCCCATCGAGCCAAGTTGAGAGAGGATGCCCGTTGTCACAGTTCCAAGACGATTCAGAAATGTCCAGCTAACCCTACGCCAATGATGCCGGTAGATCTCAAAACTGAACTTGGATCCGCATTAAGTGTCAATGATATCCTTCACCGTCGTTGTCTTACGACATGACAAATGGCTCGAACCATTCATGACTATTCAAACAAAAAATAAATCATTTTCAAGTTTCTTTCCAGCTAATTTATTAGTTACAGTATTTATGAAGTTTGGCAATGAGGACGAAAACTAGCATAGTTCAGCTAGCCAGCTAGTTTAGCCAGGGAAATCCGGGGAATACAAGCTCGAGCATATACTGTAGCTGGGCGCACATGCACACTAGGCTAATTCAGGACACAGATTTAAGTTCTTATGCCCTGATATCAGGAGCTGGAGGTGAAAAGTTTGATTAAACAATTCAGAGACTGAAACGACTAAATCAATGACAAATATTTAAGGAGACCGAATCGATATACAGTCCCGAAATCAGCTGTAACTGTCAATAGTAAAACAAAGCTTAAAACGATGTTTGAGTGAACCTGAATCCCGAAAATGAATGGTAAAGTTGCTTCTGGACACGGTAGACTCCTCCTCCTCACCACTCTATAGCTAGTACTGTGAAACTCTGCTGGTATGTCCTTACCCAAACAATGGAACGCCTGAAAGACTTTGGCTTTTCATCATTTATTCAGACCTGTTCTCTTATCTACACCATTGACGCTTTATCAGTGTTTAGATTACAGAGAAAGGACAAGCATCTTTTAAAGAGCAGAGTTCTCTTTTAGTATTCAAGTACAAGCATGTTTTTCTTTTCACCAAGGAGTAAGATAAATTAATTATTCCTACATAGACTTGAACATGATTTGACTTGCATTCAACATAAAATAATAAGCACTAACAATTCCATAGATACTTACCACAATTGCTATGCCAACAAACAAGCCATGAACTACATGCAGTTTCCCTCGATTTGCAACCCCTTGAGGAATGTCTGAATTCATCATCTCAGAGTACACTAGACCAATTACCAGAAGGAGGAAGGCTGCAATCACTGCAGCAAAGCCAATTATTAAAATCGCAGCACTGATGTCCATGGTGCTTGTAGTGCGATCTCAGGTAGGCTACAGTAGAAGTAAGTCATTAGGTGTGAATATGTTATCCAGCTACTTGGGTTTTCTTTGCCCCTCCTACTGCTTTGTGTACACCCTGCTCTGACCTTGTTCTATCTAGATGACTTTGAGTGCCAGTGACAAAGGAACATTCATCATTTTATTAAATGTATTTTATGGAATAAAGCAATTACACATTAAACATATATTTCACAATTTGATATTTTTATGAATATACATTTGTATAAATTCAATAGTAATTAATTCCTTTTAATGTCCTTTTAAATGTAGCTCAATTGGTAGAGCATGGCGCTTGTAACGCCAGGGTAGTGGGTTCGATCCCCGGGACCACCCATACGTAAAAATGTATGCACACATGACTGTAAGTCGCTTTGGATAAAAGCGTCTGCTAAATGGCATATTATTATTATTATTATTATTATTATTATTATTATTATTAAATCAATCATATAATTTATTGTGAAGCAGAGGACACTGGTATCTGAACTTTTAATGTTCATCTGTAGATGGCAGTGATGACTAGTGATAGCAGACCATGTTCTCTGTCAGAAAGGTCTCTAGTCTAGACACATTTGGAAACAAAATTCATCGTATTTCGAATTGAAACCGAATAAATGTGGTGTTGTTTACAAAAAAAGTATGTTCATTATAATTCAGAATTAAATCTCTGAAAATACTTTGATGTCTTATTTCAATGCATAGTGATTTGTAGCTCTGTGAAATGTGCAAGAAAATGACAGCAACTGGAGCTGTTTTTTAGGACTAGCCAACCTTTTAGCCGTCCCAGAGAGTCTCTCAGCCTTTTTTCTGAGAAGCTGAGCCCAGCACAAAGCCGCCATTGTCAAGCTGCTCTCTTAAACCCATCCCAGTTTCTGAAAAAGCCCTCCATTCAGCAGCTATACCCAGCAAAAATCACAGGGCCTGGGCCAAAAATCACAGACTGGAATCTTGTCTGCAGCCCATGAATTGACTAGATTTGTTTCTGAGGTATTTATGCAGGTCCCTAATTCTCACCTTGCCAAGTTTCTGGGACTGACCCATTTCTGTATTGTCACAGAGACAGATGTGTTTCAAGTGACAGATCACTACATCAGGGGTCTTAATGTCTAGTCTTCACATTGCCCCATCTTCTCATGCATTGAAATGAACTTTTATCACATGAAGTAGTGTGTAATTATGTATGCCACCATTATATATGCCAAAAGCACCCCTTTTTCATGTCAGCCAGATTGACCAAATTTTACATCACATAGTAAAACCTGTGTATTTACCTGTAATAGGTAGGTCAATGCAGATGTGGCCAACTGGGTTTGAACCCGGGTCTCCTGGTCACCACTGTGTTAGCCCACTGAGCTCAAGTCTAGACATTAGCTCAGGGAGGTCATGCAAGTCTTAAGGTCTCTGGCAAGGGTGGTTCTCCAAAAAATCTATAGAGTATTCAGCACTTTTCCTCCCACTGTATACATTAAAAAAAAAAGGAGTGGATCATTATATGTTTTACAAGCAGTCATAACAAATATCTGATTAATTGTCAATTATAGACAGAGAGATAGAGAGAAGGAGAGATACATGTAGAGAGAGAAAGAGCGAGCTTGAGCCGAATACAACAGGTGTAGACTTTACTGTGAAATGCTTACTTATGAGCCCGTTCACATCAATGCAGAGTTAAAAAGTAAGACAAATATTTGCTAAAGGAAATAAGGAAATATTAACGCAATAAAATAACAATAACGAGGCTATATACAAGGAGTACCAGTACCAAGTCAATGTGCAGGGTTACGAGATAGTTTAGGTAATTGAGGTAATACAGTATGTAGGTAGAGGTAAGTGACTAGGCAATCAGGATATATAATAAACAGAGTAGCAGCAGCAGTTTATGTGAAGAGTGTGAAAGTGTTTTTTTTTTTTTTACTTTACTTTGATACTGCTACTGTAGGATACATGTGATGTAACCAAGCCCAACCAGTTTGGGTGAATGTTAGCTCACTGTAAACAACTTCGGGAGGAATAATATTCTTGATTTCAAGAGGACTGAAATACTGAAATGTGACTTCATAGCAGTGGTGGCAGACGCGTCTCGGGGCTGGGGAGTGAGACAACCAGTCACAGTAGACACACAGTAAAGCAATATATTCTTCACCATTCAACCTGTCAATCAGGATTAATGGTCTTTAGCACTGCGGAGACGCGTAGTCAGAGCGCTATAAAGTAAGCTATCGGAGTCAGAGGCGGTAACGTCGAAGGATAGGAACACAACACACTTGTTGTGTAGACGATTCAGTAGCGCTTGCCTTCGGAGACACTCGCGCCTTCTTTAGGCTACTTGAAAAGTAACAGCGGACTACCGGTGTAATGAGGTCATTAGTCAAAAATAATAGTTTTGTCAATAACCTGAATAATCGATAAACATGCCAGAGCTCCGCATATTGACGCATTTCTGAGCTTGGGACATAATAGCCTAAATGTTATGATACATTGACTTCAAGTGCTGCAGTAGGCTAGTTTGATATTGGTTTTAACCAGATAATTACCTAAGAACCTAATCTTGAACTCTGCTCTGCCAAGGACATCACGATTGGAGGATATCGAACTTGTGTTTGTGTTCGAAAAATTCAGAGAATTTAGGTTACTGTACAATAAGTAACATGGATTTGAAGTGTTTGAGCTGTATGGTGCTTTTCCCCGTCCACATTGTCTACTACATATTGAAAGCAAGTGTGTACTTACTGCTACCAAGTAGACGAAAAACTCTGATCAAGGAGGTGGTGCTGATCACAGGCGGGGGACGAGGTATCGGTCGTCACCTGGCTCAGGAGTTTGCCAAGCAGGGCGCTAAAAAGGTAAATAAAACACATGCATGCGTTTAGTTTCTGCACTTTATTGATTGTATTATGCAACTTGTTGCGCATCAAACGTGATTGGGTTCACTTAGCCTTGAGCAATATGAGCACTCCTAAAATAGCCTATAGCCCCCAGACCTGTGCATGTTTTCATATCTTTTGAATTAGTACACTCATTAATTAGGCTACATGGTTATAACGATGAATAAGTTGATACCCTTTACCAACCTGTAGCCTACGTCTGATCACCTTCTGTGCAATACCTCGTTTTTTTATGCACACTTCTTGACATAACTATTATTTTTAGTGATGTACTACCATCCTCCCATATCTTCCTTAACCAAAAGCTCCATAGGTTTGCAGCAGGTAGCCTACATTGTGAGGGCAAATACATTAGTTTGTCCACTTGTTCTTCCAATCTATTGTTTCCTCTGTAATATGAATGCATGGGTCATGACTTTAGGAGTAGATGGGCCAATCAGATTGCAGGACAGGGCCCTCAATTTTGGTTAAACTTGCACAACAGAGTAGTTCAACCAGAGGGCATGTCTGCAGAAATCAAAGGTCTCCCTCTGACCGTTTGACCGCTGACGTATTATAGTGAAGCATGGAATGATTTATGTTCAGCCAAAGCTCAGAAAGAGGAGTTATGGCTAAAAACTGATATTGGATGAGATCAGGCATCATTAATGTCCAGAATAAAGTTGTATTGTTGATGACTGCCAGCAGGACTGACCTTGATCAAGTCATAACATATCACTCCTATGGAATTGGGATGAATGTGTTTTTTCCCCTACTTTTTAAACTTTCTGAAGAAACATGTTTAAAAGCTAATCACACAGAAGAAATGTTGTAGTCCTACTGGGACTAGCAGATGAACACTAACTGTGCCAAGTGCCTACACAAGACATCACATTGTCATAATAAAACACTGATTCAGATGTGTTCTTCAAGCAAACTGGCAAGGCAGAAACTACCGCAGGTTAGCGTTTTTCATAATGAATCTTGTTCTGGAGGCAGCTCTGCAGAGTGGTCACTAGCTAGCACAGCCACAAAGTCATAAAATCTGATTTTAAACATAACCCTAACCTTAACCACACTGCTAACCATAATGCCTAACCCTAACCTTAATTTAAGACCAAAAACACATTATTGTTTTCATGAAGTTTTTACGATATAGCCAATTTTGACTTAGCAGCTGGCCTATCTAAGGGGAAATCGCACCGTTCTGCCTCCAGGACAAGACTCATGACAATAAACGTCAACCTGCTACCTTACACTGAGTTTATTATTGAGGTGAAATTAAGCCCACAGAGGAAGATGGCATGTTTCAGCTGCCTAACCCATCCAAAACATGCACCTGTCAGCCAAGGCTCTTATAAATAGCCCTCCTCCTTAACAAGGAACAGTCACTTTGGCTTGAAATGCCCCAGTTACTACATTGATAGTCCCTGACACTACTGGTCAGACTACCCACTATTCCAATTACAATCCAAACATTACACAGCTGAGTGCATGGTGAACCACCATAGTGTTCTGTTAGCTCTGATGTGTAATGGACAGAGTCTCAGACACACAGATGGAGACATAATCATTTCACAATGATTCCATATGAATACCATCCCCCCCCCACACCTATTATTTTTTCTTCTTTTTTTACAAATGATTAAAAAGCTAGTTGTATTTTCGCCCATGCAACTTAGACAAAGAATTAGAGCTTTATGAATTGTCATATGGAGGACCACGTTGCAGTTGTTGCTTTTCTTTACATTATGTGGCCGAGCTAAAAAAACAAACATTTGAAGTTGAAGTGCAATGGCCTTGCTCTTCATCCTTCCATCAACATCTCCTCAGGGAACAACCGACAAAAAAACCTGTGGCTTTTGAAGCTATAATTTGCAGCTGCACAACAAAGGAAGGCACCATTCTTGTCAGCACCCATTGTTGGGTATTATCAAGGTGTGAAGGCTTTGAAAACAACACCTGCGCTAATGTGCCTCACAATCACTCCCTGCCTAAGAGATGCTAAAAAGAAGTAGGACATTCATCACAAATAACCTCTAGGAAAGACTTTACCCCAGTTTGAGGTCCATTGTGATTGGCAGACGGAATTTCTCTATTCTCTCTACTAGCTTTGGTGCTTTCACGGTAGGGAGTGCACTAGCCACAGCATTGATGAAAGAATGATGTGAGGTGAAAAGGAGAGACTGGTGAGAGGGGGATAGAGGGAGTTGAGAGGGGGAGTGAGGCCTTGTGTGTGTCATCAAAAGAGCCATTACAGAGTGAAGCACTAAAACAATAAACCACAGCAACTTTACAAAAGCTCAGCAACCAAGTTCAGAGAACAGAGACAGAGAGAGGGGGCCTCTAGGACAACCACAATAAATGTTTCAGAGGTTGAAGCAACATATTCACATATGCTCTCAATGTACCCTATGCAATTCAAATATATTCTACTGGCATCCCAAACAAGAAATCCAAAATCCCCTTGGTAAAGAATGTCAGCATGTAGAATTTAATAAGGTAGTTAGGGGGGCATTTAGGTTTTGCGACTCAATTTGTGGATCATAATATTGTGAACATGTGGAAGAAGAAAGTACAATTGAAAATACTAAGAGATATTGGCATCTTTCTTAGCCCTGGCTACTCATTAGGAGAACTGGGAACATATGCCTCTACCCAGGTTGATAGTGGCTTTATACATTGTCAAGCCCTATATAGTGTGTGTGTGTGTGTGTGTGTGTGTGTGTGTGTGTGTGTGTGTGTGTGTGTGTGTGTGTGTGTGTGTGTGTGTGTGTGTGTGTGTGTGTGTGTGTGTGTGTGTGTGTGTGTGTGTGTGTGTGTGTGTGTGTGTGTGTGTTGGAGGCGGGAAGCACACTGCTCCCAGCTGGGTATTGCCCTGCAACTGACCCTGCTGTCTCCGCACTAATTAGACAGCGGCAGGGCAGGCGACTGCCTCCTGAACTCCCCGTTCCCCCTCCCCATGCCCCCTCCCTGTTAGCCCCTATCCCCTACAACTGGTGTGAAGAAGAGGGTTCATGCCCATCCTTGAACCCATGTTTTTCCTTGTGAAATGTTATTGCGTTCTGGTGTAGGGATGTGGATGAGGCCCACCACATCGCCAGTTCATCAATCATATCATCATTGCACCCTGACACACCAGCACTTGGTGCTGGGCAAGACTTACTGTCTTTGAATAAATCATGTCCTTGAATAGACCATCAGTTTTACACAATTGGTGAATGTTGTTTAATCTTGTCAGATATGGCACTTCAGACAGAGTAATCACTGGTTTATCAGTGATACTTAGTCACTCGATGTGAGGAAATTTAGAATGAGTTTTCCACAACACTTAGGCATTCTAAGCTGATGGCTCTAGATTTGGCCAGCCATTGTTTATCCTGAAGCCCCAGTGTGTTGGGACTGGCAGATAAGCATAATGAATTAAATAACAGGAGAGCACAGTGTGAGTGGTGATTTTTAATGAGAAATGTCAGGTTTGTTTGTTAGGATGAAATCCTATTAAAGGCTTTCAGTAATTTACCTAGACCCATCCGTTCACCTCTGCTGATTACTCAAATGGGCTGGCAAACGAAGCAAACAAAAAAGCAATCTAAAGAAACTCCAACAAAGACCCATCCAGTGGAAGCGAAACATTATTTACTCTTGGAACTGATACAAAACTGCATATCATGCAGATTGTGACCCTCCTGTAGGAACTAGCTTCATTAAAACATTGGTGGGATATGAATACACTGTCACAGGCAGCTGATCAGATTGCCCTAGATGTAGTGTTGCAGTAAAACAAGATAGATAGCGGCAAAACCTTCGGCAAGCTAGCTATGCATGTTTGAGATGTTGAGATATATTATCCTCCTATTCATTCCTAAAGACATGAGTGGTTATAGCCTGGCTGTCTCTGTACTATTCTCCATCAGGACAAGGATGTCACTGTGAACTCTACTTGTGTTTTAAGTTATCTTTCTTGTCTACATGTAGAATTAAGATTTTTGTATTCACACAATATTGATATCATACTGTAAGTGTGGATGAAAGACAGACACACACACACACACAGGATCACTTTCCAGAGAACTTTCTGCAAAAATATTAACCTTGGTCACGGGCGACCAGCCAAGCCCTACACTGGCCCCATCAGCACTTCACACACTAACTGTTTTCAGACTCCCTGACCAGAAATGACTGGGGTCATCTGCCCAACAGGCCGTGTAATCTCTTTGAGAATGTGTGTTTGAGAGATGAGGAGGGCTCACCCCCTGATTTCATTACCTTTCCCTGACCCCAAAGACTGACAGATCTAATTGCCCAATCGCTGCCCCCCACCTCCTTCCTAGCCCATGTTCCCTGCTCAAATGACTGAGCTTCATTTACCCTCTCCAGGCTGATGAAGAGACGCTTCATTCACACTGCAACCCCACCCCTTTAATCTTGCTCTGAAACTATTTGTTGCTTCTAAAAATGGCCTCTCTGTTCTCTGAATGAAAGGAACATTTCAACCAAATTATCTCATCTCATCCTAGGGCCAAATGCTGCAAACATGAAATGTCTGTACACTTGTTGAGAGCATGTGTCATTGGCATAGTTGTTTGTCTTTGGCTACACATTAAACTTATTTTAGCTATGTCTTTCTCAGGATTTTAAGGACAAAAAATGCACAGATCGCGGATTGCGGATTCATGCAGCTGAGCTACTTGCTCATATTTTATTCAGAGCATATTACAGTATTATGCAACTGTAATGTCAGTTATTTTATAACCCTATTTTATAACCCTTGGCTAATATTTACCCTCAACAGGTGATCCTGTGGGGCCGCACAGAGAAGTGTCTGAAAGAGACATGTGAAGAGATCTCCCAATTAGGAACAGACTGCCACTACTTCCTGTGTGACGTGGCCAATCGGGAGGAGGTTTACAAGCAGGCCAAGGTGGTCAGGGAAAAGGTATGCAATTTAGATCTATTGTAAATCCAATTAGAAATTTTTATCCACACAAATAAAAAATATTGTTTGGAGCCAGTGAAATGCTCACGGGTCAAGGTTTCTCTCACTGCTGTTACTCCTCTCTACAGAACAGGCAGGGATTCATCGTTTCTTAATTCCTCTCCCCCATCTGACATATAGATTACACCTCAATTAAAATGTCAGGATAAGATAAGCGTGTTGAATATAACTGCCAGCTCTACCACATAAATTCACATGAAAAGAAAGTAGGTACAAATAAAAAGTGGATAAATCCTCTTAATAAAAAATGTCAGTCGTGTTTCTGACGTTTGTTTTGTTATTATTTTGCCAGGTGGGAGATGTTACGATCCTGGTGAATAACGCTGCAGTGGTCCATGGGAAAAGTCTGATGGACAGCGACGATGACTCTCTTTTGAAATCTCAACATATCAACACAATGGGGCAGTTCTGGGTAAGTGTTGTTGAGGTTTAGGAAGAGAAGTGTGGGCTTCCTTACATTTAGATCAATCTTATCATTCTCCAAAAATGCTTTTATTGGCCAATGCCCCTGCATGTTGACAAAGGTGTCAAGTGGGCGCCCAGCAGGCATGGCAGTCTCAGCTTTATTTACAGGAATGTTGGGGTATTTCCAAATTATAGGCTTACTGCTTCAGCCCCTAGGTAGAACATCAGAGGGCCTCTGAAACCTATGGCACTCTCTGTTTGAATAGAGATCAAACTTTCAGGTTGCAGAAATGCAATCATCAAACTCAATCTGTGGCTCCACTCGGGCCTGCTTCCCCTGTGTGTCTCTATTTCATGTGTATAACGGTACAATTTCCCCCCTCCCCCTCCTTTCTTCTCCCTCATCCAGACTACAAAGGCCTTCCTGCCACGGATGCTGGAGCTCCAGCACGGCCACGTGGTCTGTATAAACTCCATCCTGTCCCAGTCGCCCATCCCTGGGGCCATCGACTACTGCACCTCCAAGGCCTCCTCCCTGGCCTTCATGGAGAGCCTGACTCTGGGCCTGCTGGACTGTCCCGGGGTGGGCTGCACCACCGTGCTCCCCTTCCACACCAACACTGAGATGTTCCAGGGCATGAGAGTCAGGTGAGCAAGCCTACAACATGGTTCTTCACACCCTAGTTTAGATTACACCACCACTACTGCCATGCACCGTTTTCTTCATGCATGTATTGTAGTTACTGTATACCTAATCTCTCTGGGTTTTCTGTTCCTGTAGGTTTCCAGCGCTCTTCCCTCCCCTCAAGCCAGAAACAGTTGCTGAAAGGACTGTGGACGCAGTCAGGACTAACACAGCCTACGTTTACATGCCCTGGACCATGCATGCTCTCGTTGTCCTCAAAAGGTAATGCCTCATATCATTTTGGCCAATTTAAAGTACATACATGTTTTTCACTCATATGTAACCTCCTATCTCTGTACTTTCTCCACACCCTAGCTTCATGCCACAAGCTGCACTTGAAGAGATCCACAAGTTTTCTGGAAGCTATACCTGCATGAATACATTCAAGGGGAGGACATAAAAACAAATGATCCTGAATGTCAATACATATCAGAGGAACCTCATTAAATCCGGAGGATGTTGAAGGGAAGTATCCATGGGCTACAGGACATTGGGAAACAATGGAAGCCTTTTGAAAGTATGCAGGAAAGTGTCTTGAGGACTTTAGCATAAAGTATATTGTTGCTCCGGCGGGGTAGATTTCACTTACACGCTGCTGGAACTTATCCTGGTCTCGTTCTTGATCTCCTGTGTGTAGTTGGACGGACTAAATACCATTCACACATTGAGCAGAAGCCATGCAAAACTATTCTGGATCAACAGCTGTTTTTTTTGCAAGTCTGTTTTGTGTTATCCTTTTTTTTCTACCAATCATGTGTCTGAATGGAATCAAATTAATAAATTGATGTTACAGACAACCAAGGTGTCTCTTTGTGCACGTAGACTGGCAAATGTCTAGTGAGTGGTCAACACAGCAGAGCTAACCAGATGACATGATAGAGAATGATAACACAGTTATGCCAACCACATGCCAGGCTGTGAAACAGCAAATGAGCAACATTCATTGGAAGGCAAAACGGAGACATACACTGTTCACATACACTGTAAAGTAAGTCAGGACCGGGATTCAATCCAAAACAATGATTTAGTGCCTAAGTTGTTACATGCTGGAAAAAGGTTAACCATGAAACCATTAGATGTTTTATTGAATAATCTAATACATGGTTCAAAAAGGCCTTTCAAAATGTATCCCTGAGATCATCAAAGAGAACCTGTGTAAATTACAGTATACAGTGCATTCAGAAAGTATTCAGACCCCTTGACTTTTTCCACATTTTGTTACATTACAGCCTTATTCTAAAATTGATTAAACCATTGTTTTTCCTCATCAATCTACACACAGTACCCCATAATGACAAAGTGAAAACAGGTTTTTAGAAATGTTTACTAATTTATAAAAAACAGAAATTCCTTATTTACATAAGTATTCAGACCCTTTGCTATGAGACTCGAAATTGAGCTCAGGTGCATCCTGTTTCCATTGATCATCCTTGAGATGTTTCTACAACCTGATTGGAGTCCACCTGTGGTAAATTCAATTGATTAGACATGATTTGGAAAGGCACACACCTGTCTATATAAGGTCCCACAGTTGACAGTGTATGTCAGAGCAAAAACCAAGCCATGAGATCGAAGGAATTGTCCGTAGAGCGCCGAGACAGGACTGTGTTGAGGCACAGATCTGGGGAAGGGTCCCAAAAAAAATCTGCAGCCTTGAAGGTCCCCAAGAACACAGTGGCCTCCATCGTTCTTAAACGGAAGAAGTTTGGAACCACCAAGACTCTGAGAAGGGCCTTGGTCAGGGAGGTGACTAAGAACACTATGGTCACTCTGACAGAGCTGCAGAGTTCCTCTGTGGAGATGAGAGAACCTTCCAGAAGGACAAACATCTCTGTAGCACTCCACCAATCAGGCCTTTATGGTAGAGTGGCCAGGTGGAAACCACTCCTCAGTAAAAGGCACATGACAGCCCGCTTGGATTTTGCCAAAAGGCACCTAAAGACTCTCAGACCATGAGAAACAAGATTCTCTGGTCTGATGAAACAAAGATTTAACTCTTTGGCCTGAATGCCAAGCGTCACGTCTTGGAGGAAACATGGCACCATCCCTACGGTGAAGCATGGTGGTGGCAGCATCATGCTGTGGGGATGTTTTTCAGTGGCAGGGACTGGGAGACTAGTCAGGATTGAGGGAAAGATGACTGAGTCTGTAATACCAATGTGTTTCGAACAGACCACCATAGTCCCTGTGGCCAAGAACACTAAGGTAACCTGCCTAAATGACTACAGACCTGTAGCACTCACGTCTGTAGCCATGAAGTGCTTTGAAAGGCTGGTCAAGGCTCACATCACCACCATTATCCCAGAAACCCTATACCCACTCCAATTTGCATACCACCCCAACAGATCCACAGATGATGCAATCTCTATTGCACTCCACACTGCGCTTTCCCACCTGGACAAAAGGAACACCTACGTGAGAATGCTATTCATTGACTACAGCTCAGCGTTCAACACCATAATGCCCTCAAAGCTCATCACTAAGCTAAGGACCCTGGGACTAAACACCTCCCTCTGCAACTGGATCCTGGACTTCCTGACAGGCGGCCCCCAGTAGGTAAGGGTAGGTAACAACACATCTGCCACGCTGATCCTCAACACGAGGGCTCCTCAGGGGTGCGTGCTCAGTCCCCTCCTGTATTCCCCGTTCACACATGACTGCATGGCCAGGCACGACTCGAACACCATCATTAAGTTTGCCGACGACACATCTGTGGTAGGCCTGATCACCGACAACGATGAGATAGCCTATAGGGAGGAGGTCAGAGACCTGGCCATGTGGTGCCAGGATAACAACCTCTCCCTCAACGACATCGACAGGGCTGTAGTGGAGCAGGTTGAGAGCTTCAAGTTCCTTGGTGTACATATCACCAACAAATTATCATGGTCCAAACACACCAAGACAGTCGTGAAGAGGGCACGACAAAGCCTATTCCCCCTCAGGAGACTGAAAAGATTTTGCATGGGTCCTCAGATCCTCAAAAGGTTCTACAGCTGCACCATCGAGAGCATCCTGACTGGTTGCATCACTGCCTGGCATGGCAACTGCTCGGCCTCCGACCGCAAGGTACTACAGAGGTTAGTGCGTACGGCCCAGTACATCACTGGGGCCAAGCTTCCTGCAATCCAGGACCTCTATACCAGGCGGTGTCAAAGGAAGGCCCTAAAAATTGTAAAAGACTCCAGCCACCCTAGTCATAGACTGTTCTCTCTGCTACCACACGGCAAGCGGTACCGGAGCGTCAAGTCTAGGTCCAAAAGGCTTGTTAACAGCTTCTACCCCTAAGCCATAAGACTCCTGAACAGCTAATCAAACGGCTACCTGGACTATTTGCATTTTTCTTTTACGCTGCTGCCACTCTCTGTTTATTATCTATGCATAGTCACGTGAACTCTACCTACATGTACATATTACCCCAATTACCTCGACTAACCTGTGCCCCCGCACATTGACTCTGTACCGGTACCCCCTGTATATAGCCTCGCTACTGTTATTATACTGCTGCTCTTTAAATCTTTTTTTTTAATGTTTACTTTTCAAAATTTTACATAACACTTATTTTTCTTAAAACTGCATTGTTGGTTAAGGGCTTGTAAGTAAGCATTTCACTGTAAGGTCTACACCTGTTGTATTCGGCACATGTGACAAATACAATTTGATTTGATTTGATGAGGGGAGCCAAGTACAGAGAGATCCTTAGTGAAAACCTGTTCCAGAGCGCTCAGGACCTCCGACTGGGGGCGAAGGTTCACCTTCCAACAGGACAACGACCCTAAGCACACTGCCAAGACAATGCAGGAGTGGCTTCGGGACATTATCTGAATGTCCTTGAGTGGCCCAGCAAGAGCCCGGACTTGAACCCGATCAAACATCTCTGGAGAGACATAAAAATAGCTGTGCAGCGATGCTCCCCATCCAACCTGACAGAGCTTGAGAGGATCTACAGAGAAGAATGGGAGAAACTCTCCAAATACAGGTGTGCCAAGCTTGTAGTGTCATACCCAAGAAGACTCTAGACTGAAATCGCTACCAAAGGCGCTTCAACAAAGTACTGAGTATAGGGTCGGAATACTTATGTAAATGTATTATTTACGTTTTTCTTTTATAAACTTGCAAAATGTTCTACAAACCTGTTTCTGCTTTGTCATTATGGGGTATTGTGTGTAGATTGATGAGGGAAATCAATTTAATCCATTTTAGAATAAGGCTGTAACGTAACAAAATCTGGAAAAAGTCAAGGGGTCTGAATACTTTCTGAATGCACTGTATGTGGTGTCAGGGGGAATACCTGATTTAGAAGAACAAGCTTTTATCTTCCAGAGTGGAGGTCTTTAATGATGAATGAATGGGCCTTGGTTCTGACCTTTATGTACTGTACCATAGCATCAGAGGAAGAATGTACAGTTAGGAAGTTATCTATAGTGCACAGATCTAGACACCCAGAGCTGTGTTGTTGTGACATACCCTATGTCTGAGCACAAGTCAAGGCAACCACACACACACAGCCCCGGGCCAACCAATAAGAGATGACTGTAAAAATGGGGAACGTGTCTGCCCTTTGGCTGCCAGACAAGGCTCATAAACATTCATTTGAATCCCAGTGAACCATAAATGCCCTCCTGTGCGCTCACGATAGGGCCGCTCATTGTGATCACCAGGCTGGACAGAGGGAGAGAGGATGTGCTCTGCTGGGAGAGAACCTGAGCCTCTGTTAAGGACCTGTTTTTCATTCCCTGAGTGGGCTATAGCTGTTGCGAAAGAGGAGGGAGAAGATAGAAGAATGTTGAGACGGAACTAGGTCGATGAGGGAGCCATGTAGTGCAAGTATGGTGGAAGAGGAGGGCTGAAACCGCTTGAGTCTCATGGGGCAGGTTCAGAGCAAGGTTAGCCAAATAGTGGATAAATCAGGAGGGGAGGCAGAGGGGGGCTTGGAAAGACACACACACTCTCTGAGCTTCATGGACCAGGTGGAAGCAGAGGGGTGACTATGGTGGGGGTGTTGATGCATAGAGAGAGATTGAGAGAATTACATTATATGTTACACTATCTGATTGACCTCACCCAGAATAACTCTACACTTATAACATTCTGGCATGAAGTAACTAAAAAAATAGGATGCAGAGCTTTGTAAAGCTACTAATAGTAAGGGATTTGAGCTGATGAAGAATTCAGCACAGCTATTGTCTTAGATTCAAATCGTTATTGCATATGTTTCAATCGAAGACGGATATAGTCCACTGTCCTCTAAACTCTCTTTCACAGCCTTCTCCCCCATCAGCAATCAGGAACTATTGTTGAATTGCTCTTAGATTAACTGTAATAATCTGCCACATTTGTGCTTCACTTTAAAGCAGCAAGCCTAAATGTACTTTCCTATATGATTTCCAGGCATTTGGAATCCCAATAGAAGGGCTTGGAAAGTCCCACTCCAATGATCCATTAAAAATGTTATAGGCCCTAGGATCTGGAGTCCATTTAGCTGGTTATGCAGTGATGCCGAACGCATGTAAAATTCTGGGCAGTGGAGGATTCTGTCATCTCTCACTTCCCATAATCCCATGGATTCCCTGACTCTGAATTTCCTGGCTGTTGGTTCCTCAAAGCCCCCCCTGATAAGTGCTAGGAGTACAATGAGGAATGGAATTATCCTGCAATAAACATTCCGACTCAATGCAGTCATTGTATTCCAATGAGAGAAACAAATGTCTTAGTTATGTCCCAAAATAGGAGGACCAAGAGCGCATTCATTTTATTACTTGCTGCACTGCCTTATCTTATTTCTCTGTTTGTTGTTGTTAGCATTCTTGCCAGTCTGATGCTATGTTCATCCATCAAGAGGCAGGTTGGTTGTGTGATA